TTGGTGCTCTCTGCTCTGAAAAGATTTCCTCTCTCCCCTGTTTTCCTCTCATTTTGGGGGGGGCTGTTTCTGTCCCCGTGCGGGGAACAAATGAAAAGGGGGACTCCTTCTGTCCCTGAGTGCCTGTCAGCTGTCTGCTTGTATCAGTTCTCTACCCGTTCTTCTCCCTCACCCCAGGTACTATGCTTTTAGAAAGTATCCTGCTGTTTTTCTAAATGTTTTCAGTGGGGTAGAATCTGTGCTTGGGAGATTTTTGTGCTTACTGATGCTAGCAAAGAAGGTCCATTACTTATTTGACATCAGTTATTTAAACAAAAGAAGGAATAGGGTGGTATGACATCTGGGCAAACGTTCTCAGATTCTTCTCAAGCTGAATTTAGGGCCCCTAATCCTAGTTTTGTCCCCTCTTGTTGAGAAGAGGCTCTTTGTGCTCTCCTCACAAGTGTGCCTGCCCATCTAATGTGCTGGAATTGATGGGAAGGTCTGTCCTTTTGTGCAAGATCTGTTCCTCCTGTCTTCTCCTTCACAGGTGGGCACAGTATAACCACTGAGATCCATCACCCTGCATCAAAACCGAGTCACTCTGTGGCTGTGCAAGAAATCAGGCTCATCTTGTTACTTCAATTAGGAAGAGACCCAGAGGAGGGAGCCCTTTGTCTCAGGAAAACAGGGATTCGTAGGCTCTTGGGAAGAAAAAGGATTCCTTCAAGCCTTAAGGAAATTTGTCCTGGCTCTCAAGCCTTTCACCAAACTCTTCTTCAGTAGCTGGGTGCACAAGGACACTGTCAGTGCATGGTTTTAGGGAAGGTATCTTTATTTTTGTCTTTTCCTGTGTTTTCCTCTTAGCAAGGATGCTCTGTGATTAATGTTCTCAGCTGATGTTTAGCTCTGTTCTTCGGTTTAGGTGCTTGGGGTTTGGAGGCCTTTGGGATATTACCGCTTGTAGGAACTTCACAACCTCCAACGGCTTCTCCAGCGCCAGTTTGGGAATTCCGATGACTTGTTTCCCCTTGTAGGAACTTCACAACCTCCAACGGCTTCTCCAGCGCCAGTTTGGGAATTCAGCTCATGGGGTTCCCCTGGCTGTTCCTCTGCTCGAAGTGCCACCACGTGGGTTCCTCATTGGAGGTTGTCTGACAAAACACCACAGCGCTTTGTGCGAGGCACAGATGGGTTGAACACAGGTGTGAGAACACGCTCTGACACACTGCCTGCCTTGATGCTCCTGCGTCCTCCTCCCTGGAGCCTTTCTTCCCTTTCCATTCTCCGTGTGTGTTCTTGGTAGAGCTCTGTATGAGGGATTTTTAAGAATTTATTCCATCCTGGTAAATCGTGATCTTCCTTGCACAATCCACATTCTAGGTTCCTAGGTAAAGCATCATTCTCTAAAATACTTTAATTGGGATAAATTGATAAATTTGAGTTTTACTCTGAAGGGGAAAGAATCTAGCGAAGTTTCTGGAGGACGGTGACAACACTTCCTCTTCTGTACAGGAGAGAAGGTGGTCCTCCTCTTCCAGGAGATGTGAGGTTATAAAGCAGGGAAGTTGCCGTGTTTGAAGAGGAGAGTGAATGCATGTTTTGGGAAACAATTCTCTGCAACAAGGACTATTTTCAAAGAGGAAGTTAACAGGTATAAAATCCATAGCCTTTAACTGTATCAACACCTGAAGTGTTGTGTTGAAAATTCGAATGCTAGAATTTTAGTTTTTATGGGTTGGTAATGCAAAGCACTCAATGTTATGGATGTTCCACTCTTGAGTGATTTGATTGAATTAATATTGACTTTGAATAAAGAGAAAGTAATAGGCTTTAGGTTCAGACCAGACACAGCCCTTACTTCTAGCTTTTTAAAATTTTCAGGATAAAAATACTGTTAGCGTATCTCCATATAGCACCGTTTTCACCAGTCGTTTTCAGCAAATGCATTTGTATTCAGGGCATTCTGCATTTTGTGACTTTATATGTTTAATCAGGGTGGCTGCTTCTGAATTCACAACAGTAAACTGGGATCTGTTTCAATGATTTACGTTGATTAAAACTCCAGTATTTTAAAGGGAACGATTCTGGTGAATCAGAATCTGATTTCAATTTCACCTTCATGCCTTTTAACACCTGGCTTGTTTTTTCTCTGTTGTGTGTTTGTACGTTGTATTCAGCCTTGTGCACATCAGGATGGCCCTGTTGGGTGGGTGGAAATCCTTAGTTTTTCTACCAAGGTACATATTTGCCATTTAGTAAAGCATAAAATGTCTGGAATATTTCGCTAGGGAAAGGCATACGGTTGGTAACACTGTGTCTTCTGAAAGCTGGGTTCTTGGAGTTCCTTGGGAGATTTTTTTGGATTAAGTCCTCTTCAGCACTCAAAGCACACCATATTTAGTATGATCCTTAGTTTCTAACAAGGTACATATTTGCCATTTAGTAAAGCATAAAATGTCTGGAATATTTCGCTAGGGAAAGGCATACGGTTGGTAACACTGTGTCTTCTGAAAGCTGGGTTCTTGGAGTTCCTTGGGAGATTTTTTTGGATTAAGTCCTCTTCAGCACTCAAAGCACACCATATTTAGTATTCTGTCTCATAAACCTTCCCATACACTTTAGAAAGTTGTAATGCTTATGTGAAAGTCTGCATTTATGACAAATCTGAGTTTGTCTCCTTGATTTCCTTTGAGTTCTGAATTGCTCGGCTGTTTGTCCTAATTATATCCTTAAGCCAGAAGGTATTGGGGAAATAAGGAAGATGCCCCCAGCCATGGAAGCAGCTCTTTCACCAGAGATTCTGGTTTGTCTCAAAATTTAAGCTAAACTGACACAAGAGATTTTTTTTTTTCCTGCTGCGTTTTGCTGTCCCTAAACTATCAATAATTTAGGATGCATGTACCGCGAAGCGCCTTGTTTTTGTGGTTCGTGCTGTCTGTTAATGTCTCTGTGCTGATGTCTGTCTCGTGTGCATGTGTAACTTGGCTTGATATGTACTCGCTTTGTTTATCCATGTTGTCACGTCCCTTATAGATACTGTTGGTGACAGACGCGGGCTGCAGTGGGATTTGGGCCATCTCTCTGTAGAATGGTGTGTTTGGAGTTGCCTGGATAACCCTTCCAGCACTCGGTTGTTTTTTGCCCCCCTTTCACTCCCCTTACTTAACCCAGGACTTACTATTTGTATGCGTATGTGTGTATGCACAAAAATAGCCCAACAGAGACTCTGTTTCTGTCTTCCTATCCACATCTATTTATCTTTTGGTCTAAATACAGCTTTTCAGAATGAGTTTTGTTGCATCAGTACAGCTGTTGTGGAAGCACAAGCTATTGAAGAAGCTTTCAAAAGCAGGAGGTGTGTGGAAGTGAGTACGTATTCTTGGGTTGGTACTCAAAGGTATTCAGCGTTGCTCCTTTTGGAACCAGCTGTAAGGAGGTTGCTATTTTAAAATCTCCTCCTTTCAGAGTTGTTACGTGAAGTTTCAGTGCATCATGTCTCACTGTGTGCAGCTCCTGACTCCTGGTTCACCTACCGAGAGTGAAAGGAAAGGTTCCTCAGGGTCAGCCACCCACCTGCTGGAGGTTCTAGCAGGTACCACCTTGAGGAACATGCTGGTTTCTTGAGGACTCTCTCAAACGTATGTTACTGGAGATCCACCATATTTTGACTGCTGTCTCCAAGTTTAAATTGGTGACCTAGAAAAGCTGTTGATCGTTCACATCCACCCTGCAACAATGGTCTGGGATTAGGACATTTTGATCTTAGAGTCCCCAAAACTGGCTGAAAGGTAGACTTGGCCTCCCCTTAGCAGTGGGCACCTGGGGTGTGTTGGGCACTGCTGCCCTGTGCAACAGCATCTCCTGACCAGCTCTCCTCAATGCAGGGCCCATGTGAAGCCACCACCACTGCAGGTCATTTCCCAGTTGTGTTTTCCACTGTGGTGAGAGGGGTATCTTGGCCAGAAATGGTTTTCAGAAATGCAGTGGAATCATGAAGCTGCTGTTATGTGTCCATTTGCTGGGGCTGAATGAGCCAAGTGAACCTGCATTTTGATGGACATCCGACCTACTGTTTGTGAGGAATAAATGTATAAAAATGGGCAACCTTTATAAAAGACAGTGATGCTTCTGTAGAACATGACTTTATGAGTGGGAAATTAACATCTTCAGCCTATTGGCTCCGGGAAAAGAAGGGCTAAGGCTCATTAGAGGCTGTTCTGACAAAGACCAGGAAGATTGTGTTTCCCAAGTTTCAATTTTCCCAGGGAGAGGCCGAGAGAATCTAGTAGCTAAAGCCCAGGGCGGGGATCAGATTTGATTCCTCTTTCTGCCCAAGCCATTTAACTCTGTTTCTTCTCAGGTAATATAGGAATAACACCACTAGCATCTCGAGCAGTTTCAAATCCTTGAGTGGAATGACCTCAAGAACTGCAAACTATTTGTTATGTGTGGATTGAAATCCCAGCTCCAGGTCTGCTCGTGTCCTCAGCCAAGTTAGTGGCTCCAGTCCTTCTGTTTCTCATGAGCTGAGACAAGATACCCTGACATTTGAAAAATCTTGGATCAGGCTTTCTCCCCAGCTCGGAGAATGGCTCTGCCTTTACTTATTTTTCTATTCTAAGAAGAATAGGAAGCGTATCCGAAATTACACGATTATCCTATTTTTGCTCCTTAAACTTTAATTTTAAAACGGGCTATTTTTAAGTTATTGAATCTTGTGCCAGACACCCAAATTGCGATTAAGAAAGGAGGTGAATGTGTCTGGCATTTTCCAGCACAGGCATGGCCATATCTAACCTAAAATGAGAGCCGCTGGTCCCGGGGAGGCGGTGGGGAGATGTCGGCCGGCAGCGGGGAGCGCGTCTGAGCCCAGCAGCCCGTGTCAGGTCTCCGGAGGTCAGACCACAGCGCCTTTTGTGCCTTTGTATGTCTCCCCCCTCCCAACCCTTCCCTCTTCTTTCTCCCTCTCCATGTGTATTTTGTCTCCTCCTCCTCCTCCTCCCGTGCGTGTGTCTTTCTTTGCCTCCACTCTTCTTCCCTCCCCTCCTCCGGATCGATCGCTGGCTGAGGAGACCGCCGAAGGGTTGGGTGCTTGGTGGGCTTGTCCTTGGTCCCTCCTGCCCGTTTGCCGAGAGTCAAGGGTATCTCTTGGGCAGGCTCGGGGAAGATGCTGTTCCTCCTGGTGATGTGATTGCATAGCAACACAGCAGCGCGGGGCGGTGGAGGAGGAGAGGCAGGGAGCCTGCCGACAGCAGCGCTCAGCCTCAGCATGCATCCCTGTCACAGGGACTCCTTTGCTGATTCACAGAGGCAGCCCCCGTCCCTGCTGCCTCCCCAGCGCCTCGGACCCGCTGGACTCGGAAGGTAGGCCATGACAAAATCCCTTTCCCGCTCGGATGCTCTAGCTAGGCTGGAAAAAAAAAAAAAAAAAAAGGGGGGGAAAATATCAGCGGATCGTTAACCTCGGAAATGAGCTCCTTGGGCGTGTGTGCATGTGTGTAGCCCTTCACAGAAACACTCTCCGTGTACGTGTGGGTGAGGAAACTCGCGGAGAAGAAAAGGAAAGGGTGTCAGGGGGGGACACAGTGGGAGCAAGAAAGGTGGCCAAGATTGTTTCCACTGGGGAGAGGCTGGGGACCCGTAAGTGATGTGGATTCCCAGGGCAAACAATAGTAGCCAGCATCCCGGCTTCACCAGCTTTGATTCTTTGCACACTGGAGGCTTATTTACCCTGGTGGTGTTTTTGCCTGAGCTAAAGGACTGCTCCGGGCAGGGTGCATGGTGGCCTTCTAGCATCCTCCTGGGAGGATTAGGCAGCAGGGCAAGGCAGGGACCCAAATATTTCTCGAGTTGTAAGCTGGGATCAGACTCCAGTCCCAGCTCAGCCCTTTCCATTCACTACCGTGCCCGGTCCAGCCCTGCTTCTTTGTGTCTGCCCTCCCCTCCCCCAGCTTCTCCCCAATCCCTTTCACTCATTCTTCCTCCTCCTCCTCCTCGCTCAAGGCCTTATATTGCCGCCGCTGACCTTCCCTTTGCTGTGGGCAGCCCTGACCGGCTGCAGAAGATGCGGGACCTTTCCTGCCCCCCAGGGCTCAGCACTCTGCCTCCCTCTCCATGCCAGACAGGGCAGCCTCAGCCAGCGATTCACCATGATTTAGTGTCCCTTTGCACAACAGATTATTACCTTTCCCTGGTCCAGCCTCTTCCTTTCAGTCTTCCCTCCGGTACAGCATCGCAAGCGTAGAGCATCCTATTCATGAGGGTCTCAATGCTGAGATTGCCCGTGTGCAGTGACAGGGGTGTGGAGCACTTACTCCCACACTTCTAAGAACCCTGCTGCCTGTGGGAGAAACCCATGTTTGTTTGGATTTTGTTTTTTTTAGCCTTGAAAAATACTTGTAGTTAAATCTCTGTCAGTCTGCGTTTTACCTGTGCCCTAATCCGAGGTCCTTCGCACCTTCTCTCTCTCTACTGCTCACCGCTCTCTCCGGAGAAGTGGCAGTTCTTGCTTGATTATTCTCTTTAATGGCCTTTATGTCCTGACCGTAGTACCCTACAGCAAGGCAGGGTGTGAAGTCCCAGCTCCAAGGCTCGGTCGTGCCGGGAGGGTTTCTGATTTTCTGGCAGCCGTGTGTAAGCCCATGTGCCGGCCGCGGCTCCGGTGCCATCTCACATCCTGCCCTGCCAGTTCCCCAGGCTGGAACCCGCTTTCTCTGCTGCTGTGAGAAGGGGTCGGGCAGGGCTCTGCTGTGATGGCACTCCAGAAAGGGGACCAGACCACAGACACGCAATTTCAAACTGGGAAGGTGGGTGCCTGGAGTGCTGGGGTGGGAAGGTGTTGGAGGAGGTGCTGGGATGCGATGCTGTGTTGAGGTTCTCTTTGTTAACTGAAGAAATTAAGATGAGGAATATCTCTCTCTCTGGGTTAACACCTGAGACAGATCAATCCCTCCTGCTAAAATTGGCCAGGGCTGGAAGCGTGAATGGGCTTGCTCTGGTTGGAGTGACTCTTTTCAAAACTAAACAAAGTGAGACAGGGAAGGGATTAAATTAATGGGTTCAAACAAAAGCCCTGAGTTCTGGCAACGCATGGTGAATTTTTGATTCTAATACAATTCTGAGAAATATATTCAAGGCCCCCACTTTAGGCTGGATGCTTATGATAAAAGCATAAAAGAGGGAATTGTAAGTCTCATGGAAACAAGACGCGCTGACCAGGAAGAATTCAGTCTTCAAAAGACCCTCATTTTCACAGGTGTATAAAGATGAAACTGAGCTTTTCAAAACTGAGCCGAAATAGCTCCATTCCGTTTTCCTTTGCTGTTTCCCTTAAGAATAAGGTCGCTCTGATACATCTCAAGAAAGGAAAAGAAATGTGACTTCATGTGGCACACAGCCTGCTTATAAAACGTGCAGGCTCAGGAGGCCAGAGAACCCCATGCTTTGACTGGGGGTTTGTAATAAAGACAAGCTGGTTGGGGGCAAGGCACAATGTTCAGTGCAGAGACACAGATGTTAGTTTGACACTGAGAAGGAGAAGCAAAGCGTTCAAGGAAGCCCGAATTTGGGGCAGCACTGCCTTGGCTATCGCTGTGTGTTGGGTATGCTCTTCCCCCTGTCCCTGATGGGTTCTATGGTGTGCCAAATGGGTGGTGTGTCTCTCACAAAGCAGCAACTCTCCTTTCCTGCCTCGACCAGCAGGGAAGGGAAAGCTCAGGTGCTTAGAGGAGAAAAACAAAGACAAGACTCAAGATTTTTTTAGTGGGTTTAAATGGGCTGGTTTCAGGGCTATGGGACACGACCAAATCTGGGAGGAACCGGGTTCAGTTTTTATGCTTGGCTGCTTTTTATGCAACCTTCTTTCGGTCATTAGGTAAGTTATTGCCCCCTCGCTGTCCCTTTTTGGGAGGTTGGAGGGTGTTGGCTGCTTCCACCGCTCCTTTTGTGTGTCAGGTCTATCAGCAGCTTCTCCGTGTCCAGCACAGCGGGGCCATGTATTTACAGCTGTGTCCTCAGGGTGCTCGAGTATTTATTTGTAGTACTTGCCTAATTGAAGGAGGGGGAGAAGAAGAGATGGGAAGAATTCCCAGGCAAAGCGAGTTTTGGAGAGAGCAGCTTAAAACCCAGCTGGGAGTCTGAAACGGCGTGTGAGAGAAATATAGATTTCCATCTTCCTAAATAAATTGCCAGAAGTTATTTTTAAGCAGGGAGAGAAGCAGTCAGTTGTGCGTGGCCATGCTGTGGGCATGCCCCCATGCTCACCTGGTTAGCTGGGGGACGTCGTCGTCCCAGTTTTCTGGAGCGAGACTAAATGGTTAAATCTTTCAGCTGGAGTTTTTGTGTTTGTGTGCGTGTTCTTTTGCTTGGGAAAATGGAGAGCGAGTGGGCCAGCAGAAGAGATGCTGCTGCTGCTTTATTAGGACCTGTGGCACCTGTTTATCCATTGAATTAAAACAACATTTTGGTTATGAGCTCAAAGCCTAAGTGGTCATTTAAGAATGCAGCTTGTTAGATGCGAGAGTGCCCCACTTCACCCACCCTCAGTGAAGGAGGCATCTTCTGTGCCACTTCCTCGCTACCAGATTTTATGTTACTTCTTAAGGACAGCTGCTTAATTGAAGGACCCTTCATTCTAATTAATGAAGGGGACCTGGTGCTTAGGTGGAAGTGCAGTGTGAAGCCCAGCTGCAGCTTTGCCATCTGGGTTTTTTAGCCCTTGGATGATGGGTTTGTAAATGTCGTCTCACGTGGAAGGTCCACTCATGCCCCATCCCTGGAGGTCTTCAAGATCAGGTTGGATGGGGCTTTGAGCAACTTGCTGTAGTGGGAGATGTCTCTGCCCATGGCAGGGGGGTTGGAACTCAATGATCTTCAAGGTCCCTTCCAACTCGAACCATTCTATGATTCCATTCTATGATTCTATAAGGTTGCTGATAGTCCTTTCCCCCTTTCCTTCCACACAGGAGCAAGTGAGAACCAGTAGACTGTTGGGATGATTTTTTAAAAGGAGTGTGTTTGGGTATCTATTCCTGGTTTATAAAGAGATGGAGACTCAGTGCCCGTGCTCGAAGAGGGAGCTGTGTTGTTTGGTCCTCGTGGGAGAAAGACTTCTCTTCCTTCTTTCTCACCAAACCTTGACCTAGCAGGGTCTTGGGAATTAGGTCTGCCGGCCCTCGGTCTCAGGCTCAAACTATTTACTTACACGTGCAGAAAATGATTTTTGCTGGAACAGGATGTGCTGTTGGGCAGTGGAGGGAGTCCTGCTGTCTGCCAGCTTGGGAATGCTCCCTTTGTCAGCGTCTACATGGGAGCTGAACTTTGAAATATCCACAAGCCTCCCACCTTTCCCCTTAAAGGACACTGGGCATGCTGAGCTAAAATGTTATTACTTCTCTTGAACAGTAAGTTAAACAACAACAAAGTCATTAACATTTCCAGCAGCAGGGAATGTGTTTGTATTTCCATTCCCCTCCTGGGATGAAGGCTGAGCTGCCTTGCCTCAAAACGTTGCCGTAATTTTTTTTCCTTATAGGCCAAGATCTGAAGTGGAAAGTTTCAGGCCGGAAAGAACATTTTGGAGGAAATTAGCAATTCAAAGCATAAGCCTTGTGATCGAGAGACCTCTTGACCTATATGCTGCATTTGCTGGCAGAGAGGCGGAAATTCAACATCTGATGTTGAATTCTAGCTTCTGCGGCGGGTCCTAATCCCTGGGTTTACCTTTAGCCGTGCAGGTCAGCCGCAGAGTGAATTCCCTTGGTGTTTGGGAGAGACTGGATCTGGGTTTCTATCAGAAAAATGGGAAATGGCAGAAATACACTGGGCAGCATGTGTGCTGGTGGCAACCTGCCATGGTGCTGTGTCCTGGGATGGAGAAGTGATGCTGAAGGAGATGGGGGGCATCACCGGTGCACCCCAGCGCTGTCTCCCGCGGCCGGGAGCTTGCAGAGAACAATAAGTTTTGTGGTGGAGCTGAAGCAAAACTGGTTGAGCAAAGGCAAAGAAAACATGGAGACCCACCACATCTTATGCATGGGTACCCAAAGGACATGGTTTACACATCTGGGCTTTATCTTCTCATGGCTGTCTGTAAAGCCGAGGTGACACCAATAGTGAGATAAATCATTTGTCTTAATCAGAGCCTAACAACAAAAAAAAAAAGCAGCATCATGACCAGAGATTGCCTTCCAAATCTGTAGAATAGACAAGGGGACACTGCTAACTGGCTTTATGGGTCATACAGTTTTAAAACCAGAATAAAAAAGGGTATTTTATAGGAGTAAAAATTCATTAAAAGGCTGCTGATAGTGTGAGATGCGATACCGGGGTACTGAGGCTCTAGGCATTTGCCCTTCTGAACATAAAAGGAAAAAATAATGTGTTTGAAAATATTGTCTGTTGTGGGGACATGCCTATTATGTCTAACCAGAAGATCCTCTCCCCCCTCTTCTTTTAAATCCTGGGCATCTCCTGTAGTTCAAGAAAACCAACCCTTGTTAAAAATGCAACAAGGAACTCGCTAACACAGGAGATTGTTACAGCAAGTTGTATAACTAGATGCAAAACCCAGCTGGACATTTAGATGAGAAAAGATTACAGCATTAGTACAAATATATGTTTTTAAAAATGCATCCTTTAAGTCTTCAGCCTTCGCGAGGGCAGCCGGGCAGGGGGATGGCTCCGTGACGGGGTGCAACTTGACCCAGGGACTCTCACGCTGCTTTTCAGGTGCTCGTGCCCAGAGTTGTCTCCATCCCCATGAACATTGGTTCTGATGCAGCCCCTGGTGATGCAGGAATGGCCCTATGTCCTCCCACGATGTCCTGAGTGGCACCTCACAGACCAGGCTCCGCACAGCAACACTGCCCACCCGCTGCCTCAGGTAAGAGCTGGGTCTTGGGAGCCTTTCTTTCTCAGGGCAGCTTTTTGCAGTGGTTGCACATGTCTGTGGAGGAAACTGGGACCTCTGTTCCTGGTGGCAGGGAAAGCTGTTAGCTCCAGCCCCCCATCGGCTTGCACTTAATGAGAGCGTTAGCTCTCCTCGAGCGTTTTGGCTGCAAAGTGTTTCCCAAAGTAGAGCAAGAGAGGCAACCTGCAGAGCTGGATTTCAAGCTTCCTTCAAAATAAAGAGCGAGAGGCCACCATTAACAGCTCTCGTGTATTTGGTTGGGTTTACTTTTTTTTCCAGGAAAACTGGAAGAGCATCAGCTTTTGCTGAAAAAGTAGGTTTCTAACCTTCCTGGTTGCAGAGAAGAGCTTGGAAATAAGCCCCTGGCGAATGCTGCAAGGCAGAGGAGGAGTCTGACCTCTTTCTAGTCTAGTTATCTTGAGGAACAGAGAGTGGGTGCTCACACTGCTGGTCTCCCTCCTCCTTCCCCTGGGGTGTCTGCGCGGGCAGGCCGGGCTCCTCACCAAAGGTGGGCAGAGAGGGGGGAAGGTCTCCAGCACCCCTGGGTAAATGGCAGAGCAGAGTGGAGGAGAATGGAAAAATGTGCTGGAAACTGTCTGCAAAGCTCCCCGAGCTCTGCACCGAGCTGTCACAGCCTGGTTTAGCACCTTGTCCTGGGTCACCCAGACAGCACGGCTGGGGAAGCGCTGCTCCAGCTCTGCTAGAGCTTCCCCTCTGTTGCCTGTAGCTGTTGGCCTCGTGGTACCTCTCGCCTGACGAGAGACTGATGGATGGTGCCAAGGTTTTCCTTGGGTGCTGGCTGCGGTGTTCCCAGGGCGAGTGAGGTCCCTGGCTCTGCTTTTTCCTTTTTTCATCGTGCTTCAAACATGAAAAGCAAAGGCTGAGCTGTGGGGTTCCTCCCTGCCATGGCTTGCCATCAGCCTGGATCCATTCTGCCCCAGGGAGCTGGGGTCTGCAGGAGGAAGGCAGAGCCTTCTCTGGAGTGGCTCCAGCATCAAGGATCGAGGCTTGGAGCTGAGTCAGAGCTTGTTGGCCCTGGGGTGGCTCTTAGGCAGCTGCTACTGGGCCAGTGCATGGGTGGTTAATGAGCAGCCCAGCAGATTAAGTGAGCAGGATAGGACAAGATGAGCAGGCAAATGTCTTCCTTAGCTGCCTTGAGCAGTCCAAGCCTCTAAAAAGGGGTCAGATCCCTGTGGGCTTTGTTGGGAAGAGGGCAATGGAGCTGGGGCAGGATGCCCTGTGAGACCCACCACCGCTGAGCTGCAAGATGGCACGTGGGGAGGGCGCAAACATCCTCAGCTCAGGTCATACCCACCACAGGTATCCCTGGGTCCCTGCCTGAGCCTGGCTTTCTGCTGTGTGGGCATCAGTGTGTTGGGTGCCACGCACCAGCTGGCTGCTGGCTCCTGCAGCGTTGATGACAGCCCGCTTCGTTCAAAGGACCTGTGGTGCCCTCCTTCTCACAGGTGTAGGTGTTGCCACCTGGGAAACAGCCTTCCTCTCTTGTCCTTGCTTTTCCTGGAAGCTTCTGGCAGGCTGTAGGCAACCCATCCTTAGTTGTCCCCTGGCTTTGCTGAAGCCCCCTCCTCCAGTCTGGGAGCTGGACCTGCATCTGCCAGCCCTGGGAGGTGTTGGGGAGAGTAGACTGGCTGTGCTGGTCCTGGAGGGAGAGACAGCAGTGGTCAGATGTGCAGGCAGAGAAGGAGGGGAAGAGAGGGAGAGATACAGGGAGCTTTTCATTCCCTCCCTGTAGGTGGAAGAGAGCATGGAAACAATGCCGGGCAGCAGGACTGTGGGGGGCACAGACCAGAGCCTTCTGGCAAAAACAAACTATTTGCACCCAGTCCAGGCAGGCAGGAACATCTGTGCTGGCACCCAGAGCTGGCCTGGAGCATGTTGGGGGGGCAAGGAGGACATCTTTGGCTTCTTGGGGAGCTGACTACTCAACTTCTGGGTAGCCCAGACCATTCCCTGGGGAAATCTCTTCCCTGGCAAACACCCCTGTCTGTCCAGCGTGTGCTCCCAACATCTGAGGGCAAGGTCTCTGCTGGTGACCCCATCCCAGCCCACCACCACCTTTGCCATGCCCTTGCAGAGATGGATCCCCAAGTGTCTGGAGCAATCCCTCTTCCCAGGGCCACCTTCCCACAAGGGGTTTTCCCTCACCGGGGTGCCCTGCAAGATCTCTGCCCACTTCGTGCTATGCGGGCAGCCCCCGATGTTCCCAGAGGGGTTAAGGCAGGTTGGAGGCTGCCTGGAATGCCACCGGACAAAGCTGGGATTGAGGCCGGCTGCGAGGCACTGCCGCCCCCCTCCAGATTCCTGGGGGGTCAGTGCTCGGGGCGGCCCCGCTCTGCTGAGCACAGGGCGCTCGCCTGCCTCCCTACCGGGTGCTGCCTGGCGGCACCCGGAGGGATGGGAGGTGATGCCCACTCCTCTGGAGAAGCTGAGCAGTGGATCCATGGCTAAGCACAGGTAGATGTGCCAGGTAGAGTGTCCTGCGCCTGAAAAATAACGCCGTGGAGGGGGAACGCGGATCCAGGCTGCCCCTGCCTGCTGAGGCTCTGGGGAAGGGATGCTTTGGGGATGCTCGGAGGGAAAGCACTGATTTTTCCCCTCTGCTGGCTTGTGGGGATTTGTCCTAGGGGGGTAGATGTTCAACACTTGGCCCTCGCTTGGCCACTCTGCTGGGCTTGGTTTGTGAGTCGCAGGTTTGGTGGGCTTTTAACTCTTTCAAGGAGGCTGGGGGGACTGTGTTGTGTGCTGAGCTGTGCTGCAGTTGCACTTGCACCCAGGTAGAGCTGATTCCTTCCTTTGGTGTCCCCTGGGATAGAGGGGAGGGCTGGAGTGTTCCTCGGCAGCGCTGTGGGGCTAACCTACTTCAGCGTCGTGAGGATGTGCACATGCAGGGTATTGATTTTTCTACACTTGAGCAGTAGCTTTAGCTTGAGTGGTTCATTATTCATGGCCCCAAGATTCCTGTGAACTCTGTGGGTGATGGTTTTCTCTGTTTTCTTGATGGTCCTGGAGTGGCAGGGTGGGGAGGCAGCGAAGAGCCTGGTGTTAGATGTTTTTAGATGAAGCAAACTTAGCACCGCTCTCGGTGATCATTTGATTTCTCTCTGAGAACTGCCATGGAGGGGGTACAGGTTTAGGCATGTGGCAAAATTTCTCGTCTGGTGTTTTTTTCCTGCCTGTTGCTCTCCCTGGCTTGGCTGGATCTGTCCCCTGGACACCTCTGGGAGCCCTTGGACAGGACAAGTGACCAGTATCTGCACATTCCCCTTAGAAGAGCTGCTGCTTTCCTCCAGAGGTGGCTGCCCTTCTCTGGCAAAGAGGTGCCTGTTGTATGTGCTGTTTAGAAAGTGCTAATGCAGTTAATTACGGTTGATTAATCACCTGGGGATAATTATCACAAATGAGCTCTAATATCAAAGTAGCATGGGATCGAAACGCTGCCGTTTCCCCAACAAAGCTCATCGGCGTCTCACTGATGGAAGTGCAGTGTGTCCGTGTGTTTTGGACAACAAATTCTGCTTTTCAGAGAGGAAAATACCTCTCGCTCACTCAGTCCTGTGCAAGATGCTTTCAGTCCTGTTGCTGTGTGTTGCCATCACCAGCAAGTGCGGTGATGTCTTCACTGCCACCACGAGCAGGAGCATGACACGGTGCTAAAGGCTGAGGAGAGGATTCCTTCCCCCATCCACTGAGGATTTGCTGCCCAGGGATCAGCACCTGTTTTTTCAGGCTGGGTGGCGTGGTTCTAAGTGTGCTTCCTTCGTGTGGCTGGGATAGGATTTGCTGTCATCAGCCCCTCAGAGCATCCTTCCCACCGTTGCTGATTCTGGAGAGGTGAGGAGGAGAAGCAGCATCTGTGGAGGAGAAACGGCACCCCAGATCTGCTGTGCAGGCAGGGAATATCCTTGTGCTTCCATAGGGGAGCAGGTGGCAGCTCCCAGTACTGCGGGTGGTGTAAAGGAGTTTGGCAGGTTCCCTTGGTCCCCAGGAACATCAAGACCCACGGTGCTTGCCTCTTCTCGAAGCACAGCAGCCCTGCGTGGTGTAGAAGAAATCGCTGTCAGCTCTGCAGGGACTGTGACACACAGAGGCCAGCTCTGATTTAATACCTATCAGTGAGATAAGTTCATTGCTGGATGACTGAGGAGCACTGAGATCCTGCAGAACAGGAGACGTGCAGTGAGCTCTTCCTTCAACCTTTGCTCTTTGTGCTGCTGGAGCTGGCACTGCATCCTTCCTCCAGGCACGGCCATGAGCTTCCCTGGAGCTAACAGACCCCTCTGGGAACAGGGCAGCCCCCCCTGTGAGATGAAAAGCCAGGCAGGGTCAGGATGGATGGGGGTAGGTGTCCCCAGGCAAGTGCTGTAAGCACCAGGCAGTGATCTCTGGATGCAGCTTGGTTCTGTTTCTACCCAGGTTGAAGGCTCACAGGATGGTGCAGGACCTTTGTGTGTAAACCCCCGGGCTCCGAGCGGTGCTGCCGGGCCCCAGGCCCATCTGGAGATGAATCTTTGCTGGAACGAGATCAAAAAGAAATCCCACAGCCTTCGGTAAGAGTGCCTGCCTGGAGCAAGCTCCGGGGCTGGCCAGGCCTTCCAGCCTTGCCTGCTGCATGTGCCTGTCAGGAGGCTTTTGAACGTGTTTGCTTGATGAGCCACATGAATTCATGGTGACCTTGGCTCAGTTTCCCCCACTTTGTCCACAGACCTTTAAGTCTTTCTCCTTATGTTGACAAGCAACCCCTCCATTTCCACCCATCCCGTCCTCCTCTCCCTCCCCTCCTTCCCTCCTGCTTGCTTTCTGCTGCTCTCTCCATCCTCTGCCGCTGCTGTCTCTGCAGCTCCTCTCCTTTTTGCCCCACGGCTTTGCTGCCACCTCCTCTGTGCTTGTCCCTTCGCTGGGAGCCCTCTCCACCGCGCATTGAGTGGGGGGGGAACATGCCTTCCAGATCGCCAGAGGTTGCAGCTCCACAGCCAGCATGACAGAGAGCTTAACTGGGGCGTGTTAATTGTCTCCTGCCTTAATGCAAGGCTCCTGGAAGCTGCCCAGTCATGTAAACGCCCAGCCAAGCACCCCGTGGTAGCCAGAGCACAGCCCCGACCCAGAGGATAGTGCACAGCAACCCTGTCCTCTGCTCCGGGGTGATGAAGACCCTCACACTTCCCTCTCCTGAGGGTCTCCTTCCACCTCCATGCTTCACCCAACCTGGTGGTGCAATGCCTGTGCTGGCTGAGGGCCATGCACAGCCCATGCTGGGATGTGCTACCAGTCACTGGTGGGGTCCTGTGGCTGCCTGGGGGTCACCAGCCCAGCCACAGTGTTGTGCCTCCCCTCCTGGGGGAACCTGCTCCTCTCCTGTCCGTCTGACCACCGTCCTGCTGTCCACCCTCTCCTGGCAGGGCTCGGCTGGAGGCCTTTTCTGACCACAGTGGGAAGCTGCAGGTGCCTCTCCAGGAGATCATAGACTGGCTCGGGGAGAAGGATGAGGAGCTCTCGGCACAGCTGCCCCTGCGGGGAGATGTCCTCCTGGTGCAGCAGGAAAAGGAGACACACGCGGTATGTGCCACCGTTCGCTGCTAAGAGGACCCCAGGCAGGGGTCCCAGCCCTGCCTGGGACCCCTGCCTCCTGTCATTGCCCATGCCCACAGCCTACGAGCACACCAGTCCTTGCCCACCTCCATCTCTGCTCCCCATGGCAAGGCAGAGCCCCAATCCTGTAGCAAACACCTATGGCACTCAACAGGCGGAGCCCATCTGGGTTTAGACAATAAATCTGCTTTACAGCCTCAAGTTATCTCTAGGTGCTGCAGCTGGTAGAGGGCTCCACCACTTCTCTCCTAGTTTCCTCCTTATGTCCTACCTCTGCAAGAGGGAATTGCCTCTTGCTGGCCTCTGCCTTTGGGATAGTGGGGCTTGAGGAGGGCGGCTGGTCTAAAGTTGTCCTGGTGGTGGGGACATGAATGATTCCTGCAGTAGCATATCGTCATCGTATCTGAAACTGGGATAAACCCAGTCAGATCAGAGTTTCCAGCTTCCCTGATCGGAGCATTTCCTTCTCGCTGCCAGTGGCTGTTGGGCTTTAGTTGTTTTTACCTGGAAAACAAAAAAACCCAATTGCTTACTGTTGCCATCCCTCATCCTCCCTGGAACTAGCCACTTCCCTGGCTCACAAAGAGCCGATCCAACAGAGAGTACCAGTGGGGGCTGCAGTGGGAGGGGAGGAGAGGACACCCTAAAGCAGCCTGCCTCCAAAGTCTGCCCTGGCAGATGTCCTGCTTTGGGCCATCCTGCTGTTCCTCTCCTCGCTCCTCCAGCAGCTGGACCTGTTGCTGAACAGCTGCTGGAAGGTCTGTTTGAATGAGTGAGGAGCGTCTCCAAGCTGTGCCTGTGAAAGCATCACCAACAAAGCACTTCCTCTTGCCCAGCCCTGGCTCAACACACTTTTTTGCTGGTGGTCATTCCACCCCCAAAGCGCAAAAATATTTCTCTGTTAACTTCCCTCTGTGTCTCCAGTGAGGTTTGGGCCCTGGAGTGAATAAATCACTGCAGCCCTGGGCAAGGGGGCAGCATTCTCCAGCTCAGCCTGCTGTCTCACCTCTGGGCTCTGCTCTCCAGGCTTTCATGGAAGAAGTGAAGTCTCGGGGACCATACATTTACTCTGTCCTGGAGTCAGCACAGGCTTTCCTTTCCCAGCATCCGTTTGAAGAATTAGAAGAACCAACTTCAGAAAGCAAAGGTCCGTGGAGCTCCCCCTTCCTTGTTCTCCCTTAGCACAGCTCCTCCTTTGGACACTATTGTCACTTGGTTTCCCTCCCTCTTTCCAGTTTTCCCTAGATTTTTTTTTTTTTAATCTCCCTTTTCCCTGCCCTCCCTCCATTTCTTGCCCACTCTCCTCTGGGCTGGGTTCTCATTTTTACCCTCCATTTTGCCTTCACAGATGTCTCTCCCCGGCACCGCATCCAGAACATCAGCCGCTTTGTCTGGAAGCAGGCCAACGTGGCCAGTGAGCTGTGGGAGAAGCTCACGGCCCGGTGCGTGGACCAGCACCGTCACATCGAACGGACGCTGGAGCAGCTGCTGGAGATTAAAGGGGCCATGGAGGAGCTCAGCACGGCACTGGACCAGGCTGAAAGCGTGCGAGAGACCTGGGAACCCATTGGGGACCTCTTCATTGACTCCTTGCCAGAGCACATCCAGTCAACCAAGGTACTTCTGGCTTTGAGGAGTTTCCAGCCTTGGCCCCAGAGGTGATGAGATGCTGCTTCCCAGGAGGGCAGTGCTGCTCCTCCATGACTGCTCAGTCCAATGTGGCCTTGGGAACCCTTTACCTGGGGTCTCAGGGGCCAGGTCCTCCCTCCGACAGCCCCCTAGCTTTTTGAGGGTGGATTTGACCTGCGGTGTCCCAAGCAATTGTCTGTGCTGAGTACTTTGTCATGGCACAGACCTTACGCAGGTATGGTGGCTCAGCAGAGATGAGCCATTGTCTACGTCCCACTTCTCAGGAGATCTGAGTAATCTTCAGCCTGACTGGATTGTTTGAAGGTTGCTTTTTTTTCCCTGGCTAAGGTACCCTGTGGGAGGGTTAGTCAGCAGTGTCTTGCCTGCCACCAGCACACAATAGCTTGTAGTAGAGGAACCAGGTCCACGTCCTGACCACTCACCACCTTCTTTTCTTTCTTCCCCTGTCCTGTGACTGTTCCTCTGGTCATGGGACTCCAGCTGTTCAAAGAGGAGCTCTCCCCCATGAAGGACGGGGTGAAAGTGGTCAATGACCTTGCGCACCAGCTTGCCATCTCAGATGTCCACCTCTCCATGGAGAACTCCCGTACCCTGGAGCAGATCAACACGCGCTGGAAGCAGCTGCAGGTGGGAAGGAGTCAGGACCAAGCACTGCAAATAAACCACAGGTGGGAGGATGCTGAGGAAGGGCTGTCACTGCTGAGCTTCAAGGATGATGAAGTAAGGCTTGGTAGGGGTGGCAGGGGTGGTATAGTTGGTGTTCCTGGAGGAGGAAAGCATCAGTTCAATGTGAGGAAAGTGGCTGGTAAATCTGTGGAGGTCTTGAGGAGGAAAAGGTAATGGGAGGAGCAAAGGATGTTGTCCGAGGAGAATCAGGATCTGATGAGGGGTCAGTACCAGCTGTGGCTGCTTTGGTGTCTGTGGATATCAGAGGGCTGAGCAGACTGAGGAATGCAAATACCAAGGAAGGAAGAGGACCTGCATGCTGGGGCATGTCTGAGTCCATCCACAAGCCTTCCTGAATGGGGCTTCAACCTGAAATGCCTGATGGGCTGTTGCTGAATTCTTCTGTCCCGTTCTCCAGGCCTCCATAAATGAACGCCTGAAGCAGCTCCAAGATGCTCACCGGGACTTCGGACCAGGCTCCCAACACTTCCTCTCCTGTAAGTGAGCAGGTTCTCCTGGCTTCCTGGTGCGAAGCTGCCTCTGCAGAGGGGCTTAGCATGGGCTGTGAGACAGGAGAACGGGGTACAGGGTCTTGTTGCTGAGCCCAGAGCCCCACATGCAGCTAGAAATGAGCTCAGGCCAGTGCCTGGTGCACAGGAACCAGAGCAGGAGGCATCTCCCAAAGTTAGCTTTGTGCTACCTCATCCTGTGGGACCAAGGGTGAGGTTCCTCTTCAGAGTGCAGAGCTGTGACACTCGCAGCAGCAGCTCCCAGGTGATACTGGGACTGTGCCAACCTGAGACTGGGTGGGCAAGACAACAGATGGCAGAAAAAGGCAGTCCCCCGTATCCCGTGTTAGTCATTCGGAGGCCAAAATTGCACACGTTAAGGAGGTTTTTATTCACGTGGAGAGGCGGAGGGGTGTTGTTCCCACAGAGCTGAGCTGCTGATGGCTATCAGGCCTGCAAAGAATAGGCAGCAGGTTGCTCTCCAGAGTCTGAGGTCCATCCTCAGAGATGCTAAGCCTTGTAGGGTCTCCAGATGTTGGTGGGGTTTGTTGGTCTATGTTTCTCTGCAGACCATGTCCTCCTATCTGAAAGGAAGTGAGACTTTTTTCCAGTTGACGAAATTGATAAGCTGCCTGTGACAAGGCAAAATAGCTGAGGGTCTCAAAAAGGCTTTCATCCTCTAGATAACAAACATAGGGTGGCAGGCAACTGGTATGGGATGTGTCCTCATCTTCCTGAGATGTGGCAGCTGACACAGAGAGAGTGAGTAATGGGAATGGCTGATGCTGTGGGTGCCCAAGCCTGGCCGTAGCAGGGAGTGCTCTGTGTGTGTGTCCCAATCCCAGCAGCTATGAGCCCTGCCCCCCGGGGACCACAGTGTTGCCTTGGGCATTGTCAAAAGCATCAGGAAGTGTCTCTTCCCGAGCTCTGAGCTCAGCCAGACTCAGAGCTGCTGTCTCAAGAGATGACCACCAGTCCTGTGCCTCTCTTTAGGGCAGCATCCACTTGCCGTCTCCAACACCCCTTCTTGGTGACTTGGGAATCATTGTAGAATAGAATTGTAAAATCATTTAGGTTAGAAAAGACCCTTGGGATCATCGAGTCCAACAATCTACCCTACTCTACCAAGTTCTCCCCTATACCATATCCCCCAACACCACATCTAAATGACTCTTAAACACATCCAAGGATGGTGAATCAACCACCTCCCTGGGCAGCCTATTCCAGTGTCTGACTCTTTCTGTGAAAAACTCTTTCTTAATGTTCAGTTTAAACCTACCCTGTTGTAGCTTGAAACCATTAAGGGCAACCTCTTCAGAGGCCTCCACCTGCTGTCACAGTCTTGCTGGGCACTCAGCAGGAACAGCATACACCCACAGGAGAGTTTGGTGATGGTCTGACATCTGTGTCTCTCTCCTTGCAGCCTCTGTCCAGGTCCCCTGGGAGCGAGCCATTTCCCCCAACAAAGTGCCGTACTACATCAAGTGAGTGTGTTCCCAGCTGAAGCCTGTGGCCTTCTCTGGCCCAGTGAGAAGAGGAATTGGGGACTAATTAGGAGTTGGGGGGCAGTGAGTGGACCGGTCTGAGCTGTGACCTGCAGCAAAGCATGTTGCCCCCAAAAGCCAGGCTTTCCTTGCTTGTTGAGATGTCCCAGATGAGGGGGGACGCTGGCTGGAAGGAAGAGGGGTTGGCAGCAGGTGGAGCATCCTCCCATGGGCATCCTCCATGATGCTGTGGCTGGGGACAGTGCTCACAGGGGTGCAGCAGCATCTGCAGGCACTGGGGGACTTGCTCCCAGGGCCGGCAAGGTCCCTTTTTCCATCTTTCGTGGCAGCTGCTGAATTACCAGCTTGACTCTTGGTTTCCTTCTCTTTTCCTTCCAGCCACCAGGCCCAGACGACGTGCTGGGATCACCCGAAGATGACGGAGTTGTACCAGACGCTGGGTAAGGAGGCTGCCACAGAACCATCTGAGTACCATCTGCCTTTTCACAGCGTGGGGGGCGATGGGAGGTCCCCCCAGCCCACCTGCTCCCCTCTGTGGCACAGAGGTCCCCCAAAGCAACAGAGTGTGACCCTCTGCCAGGCTCTGTCCCTCTTTCTCATCCCCCCCTGCACTCTGCTTCTGCTGGTGGGGCTGGTGTCTGGGAACGGCAACTAACCACCTCCCTGGGCAGCCTATTCCAGTGTCTGACTCTTTCTGTGAAAAACTCTTTCTTAATGTTCAGTTTAAACCTACCCTGTTGTAGCTTGAAACCATTAAGGGCAACCTCTTCAGAGGCCTCCACCTGCTGTCACAGTCCTGCTGGGCACTCAGCAGGAACAGCATACACCCACAGGAGAGTTTGGTGATGGTCTGACATCTGTGTCTCTCTCCTTGCAGCCTCTGTCCAGGTCCCCTGGGAGCGAGCCATTTCCCCCAACAAAGTGCCGTACTACATCAAGTGAGTGTGTTCCCAGCTGAAGCCTGTGGCCTTCTCTGGCCCAGTGAGAAGAGGAATTGGGGACTAATTAGGAGTTGGGGGGCAGTGAGTGGACCGGTCTGAGCTGTGACCTGCAGCAAAGCATGTTGCCCCCAAAAGCCAGGCTTTCCTTGCTTGTTGAGATGTCCCAGATGAGGGGGGACGCTGGCTGGAAGGAAGAGGGGTTGGCAGCAGGTGGAGCATCCTCCCATGGGCATCCTCCATGATGCTGTGGTTGGGGACAGTGCTCACAGGGGTGCAGCAGCATCTGCAGGCACTGGGGGACTTGCTCCCAGGGCCGGCAAGGTCCCTTTTTCCATCTTTCGTGGCAGCTGCTGAATTACCAGCTTGACTCTTGGTTTCCTTCTCTTTTCCTTCCAGCCACCAGGCCCAGACGACGTGCTGGGATCACCCGAAGATGACGGAGTTGTACCAGACGCTGGGTAAGGAGGCTGCCACAGAACCATCTGAGTACCATCTGCCTTTTCACAGCGTGGGGGGCGATGGGAGGTCCCCCCAGCCCACCTGCTCCCCTCTGTGGCACAGAGGTCCCCCAAAGCAACAGAGTGTGACCCTCTGCCAGGCTCTGTCCCTCTTTCTCATCCCCCCCTGCACTCTGCTTCTGCTGGTGGGGCTGGTGTCTGGGAACGGCAACTGCTGCTTCCTGCCCTGGAGATAAGGATGTCGAGCTGAGATTTTATTCTTCTTTTCTTGTGTTATTGCAGCGGATTTGAACAACATCAAGTTCTCAGCGTATCGGACGGCTATGAAACTACGGCGGGTGCAAAAAGCCCTTCGATGTGAGTGCGAGGGAAGTATTTTCCCTCCTGCTGGGTTTCCCTCAATAAAGGCATTAAACTAACACAAGCTTTTATCAGCACATCAAAGGCAGGAGCCCACCAGGGGACAGGTAGCTGAGGCAAGAAGCGCTAGGAAGGATGAGCTTGTGGCTGGAAAGCTGAGCAAATCCACCAGCGAGGGGTCTGGGTCTGTGTCAGAGCTTTTCTTTGCAGGTTTCGGGTGGAAATGCCTCGAGGGCAGGTGTTAGTCAAAGGGATTTGAGAACAAAGTGATCCAGCTCAGAGCTACAAAGCTGTGGGATCAGGCAGGGGCTCACTCCGGAGCTCCAAGGGAGCCCAGAGAAGCTGTGGATGTAACCGAGAGCAGAAACCAGCCTCTCTGGAAGGGGCAGAGAGGGCTCTACTACTTAAAGAGGAGGAAGGGAGCCAATAAACCTGACTTTCTGCATGGTTGGTAAAATTCCAGTTAAACCGAGGATTAATAGCCAGGTGAATAGGATGCGACAGGAGTTCAACATGATGTGTGGCTCTCTGAGAAGCAGCTGCTCCTTGAAACTGCCAAGGGGTTTCTGAGGAAAAGGGAAGCCAGGGTTGCTCACACTGTCCTAGCCCAGTTTTAGGTTTGTGCCTGGATCCTCGCTGCTGGTCAGAGCTGGAGATGGGACTGCTCCACCTCTGGGCAGCTGCTCGTGGGGTCTAGGTGGCTTTGTGCCCCCCACGGCAGCCCCACAGGGACCTGGCATGTGCAGAGTCCAGCTCTGGGCACTTGTGGCTCCACACAGAACCTTTCATGGGTAGCATTTTCGTGGCCATGGCTGGCCACAGCAACAGGGAAGGAAGGTCACACAGAATGGTGGCTCAAGTTGACTATAGGTGGAGATGCGGGTGTTTTAGGAGGGGTTTATGGGTGGGAGAGCAATTCTGGGAGCTGTGCCCATTCTGCCAGCATCTTCCCCACCACCTGAGTCTGCCCCAGGTCAGGGCAGGGCTGTGTCTCCTTCCTCTTGCTCTCATCTCTGCCTTTTTCCTCTCTGCCTCTGATCCCCCTTACCTGTGCTTTCTGCCCAGTGGACATGGTGACCCTGGCCACTGCCTTGGAAATCTTCAACGAGCACGACCTGCAGCCCAGTGACCGGGCAATGGACGTGGTGGAGGTCATCCACTGCTTGACTGCCCTCTACGAGAGGCTGGAGGAGGAGAGGGGCATCCTGGTGAACGTGCCCCTCTGCGTGGACATGAGCCTCAACTGGCTGCTGAACGTCTTTGACAGGTACCAGTCCCTCCATGTCCCCCGGGGGCTGCCATGCTTGGGAGGAAACCTCCTTGGTGCTCTTCCATCTGGCAGCACTGCAGAAAGGTCCTGGCCATGAGCAAAGGGGCTTCCTGGCATGGGTTTGCCTTGCCTGATGCCCCCCTCCCTGCCCCCTCCCAGATTAAAAAACCTCCAAAATGTTTGCAAACCTCTCCAATATCTCACCTTGCAGTGGCCGCAGCGGGAAGATGAGGGCTCTCTCCTTCAAGACGGGCATCGCGTGTCTGTGTGGGACAGAAGTCAAGGAGAAGTTTCAGTGTGAGTGTCCCGTTCCCCCCCCACCCATCGCCCTCCCCCAGGAGCTGGTGTGGAGCAACCTGGGGAAAGTAGGAGTGCTTTTGTCTCCTGGCGTAGCCCTTCTTTGCCTGGAAAAAGCACAGAAACCGTTCTCTTGCGGTGACTAATCTGCTTGCATTGCCACCTCTCCCTCCTTCCCTCCCTCCCCGAGCCTACGCCGCCTAAATTAGGAGGCATTTTTGCAGACTGAGTGGTGCCGCGGTGATCTGGCTTGTGTGGCACTGGAAGGAAGAGTGCAGAGCAGGCAAACAGGCAACAAGTTTATCCCGTGCTTCCCAGAAGGAAAAAAAAAAAAAGGGGGCCCGTTCCCCCCCCACCCATCGCCCTCCCCCAGGAGCTGGTGTGGAGCAACCTGGGGAAAGTAGGAGTGCTTTTGTCTCCTGGCGTAGCCCTTCTTTGCCTGGAAAAAGCACAGAAACCGTTCTCCTGCGGTGACTAATCTGCTTGCATTGCCACCTCTCCCTCCTTCCCTCCCTCCCCGAGCCTACGCCGCCTAAATTAGGAGGCATTTTTGCAGACTGAGTGGTGCCGCGGTGATCTGGCTTGTGTGGCACTGGAAGGAAGAGTGCAGAGCAGGCAAACAGGCAACAAGTTTATCCCGTGCTTCCCAGAAGGAAAAAAAAAAAGGGGGGGTGCATGGCTGGGAAGGAGGTTTTGGACAAATTAAAGGAAGCCCCTTTCCTCACTGCTTTTTAACCCTGGTGCTCTCCGGAGGGGTCAGCACAAGAAACAGCAAGAATAAAGGGATGTGGCAGATTCATAGAGGACAGACCAGCTGTGGCTGTTAAAGAAGTGACTTTTTTAACCCCTGTCTCAAGAAGACTCCAAGCTCCTGATCATTTTAGGGGCCTAGAACACTTCTCTTATGAGGAAAGGCTGAAGGATTTGGGTTTTTTTAGTCTGGAGAAGAGAAGACTGAAGGGGGATCTGATCAATGCATACAAATACTTAAAGGGTGGGTGTCAAGAGGATGGGGCCGGTCTTTTTTCAGTGGTGCCCAGTGACAGGACAAGAGGAAATGGGCACAAATTTGAACATAAGAAGTTCCACCTGAACATGAGGAGGAACTTCACTTTGAGGGTGGCAGAGCCCTGGAAGAGGCTGCCCAGGGAGGTGGTGGAGTCTCCTTCTCTGGAGACATTCAAACCCCACCTGGACAAGTTCCTGTGCAACCTGCTCTGGGTGGACCTGCTTTGGCAGGGGGTTGGACTAGATGATCTCCAGAGGTCCCTTCGAACCCCATATCATTCTGTGACGGGGAGCTGGAAGGATACTGGTAAAGGTTATTTAATCGTAGCTCAGTTTTTCCCTCTTATTTGAGCTCCAAATGGAGACAGGAGGTGGAGCCCCTGGTCTGACCCACACACTGTTGCCCCGTGCCCTGACATGCCTGCCCAGTGTGTTGTGGTGTCAGCAATGTCTCTAACGGGGGCTGTGCATCTCTCCTGCTGACAGATCTCTTCAGCCAAGTGGCAAACGCCGGGGGACTGTGTGACCAGCGGCACCTCGGTGTCCTGCTCCACGAGGCCATCCAGGTCCCACGCCAGCTGGGGGAGGTGGCAGCGTTTGGGGGCAGCAACGTGGAGCCCAGCATCCGCAGCTGCTTCCGCTTTGTGAGTAGGGGTGCCGTGGTCTGTGCTGTCCCCACCGCGGTAGCCATGTTGGGGAGGTGCTCCCGGAGGTGGTGAGAAGCTTGCTCCTCATCACCGTTGGGTCTCAGCTCATGAGCAACCCTTTCCTCTCCCCTCCCCAGAGCAATGGGAAGCCCGCCATCGAGGCATCCCAGTTCTTGGAGTGGGCCAACCTGGAGCCACAGTCCATGGTGTGGCTGGCCGTGCTGCACCGGGTGACCATGGCTGAGCAAGTGAAACACCAGACCAAGTGCTCCGTCTGCCGGCAGTGCCCCATCAAGGGCTTCAGGTAGGGGTCGTGCTATGGGACCTTGGCCCCCAAGGGAAGCTCGTGGTGTCCTGCGGGAGGGAGCGGAATTTGTTCTGTGCTGTTGGGAGAACTTAGAGCTCTGCAGCAGCAGTGTCTCAGGCAGGTCAGATCAGGTCCCAGCAGAGGGGAAGGAGCAGGATGTTTTTCTGGGGACTTAATTTATCAACACTGTGGGCTCAGTGAGAGCAGCACAGACCATCTCTGTTCCCTGCTGAGCTCTCCTTGGGCTCCAAAATGATGTGGTTTTGTTGACTTTCGCTGACTCCCTATGGCTTCCTGCTCTCTCCAGGTATCGGAGCCTGAAGCAGTTCAATGTGGATATCTGCCAGACGTGCTTCCTCACCGGGCGAGCCAGCAAGGGCAACAAGCTGCACTACCCCATCATGGAGTACTACACCCCGGTATGGGGCAGGGCTGGGAGGTCTTGGCTCCGAGCAGGTGCCCCTCAATGGCAGCAGCCTTGTGATATTTAGGCTGGTGCAGCCCCAGAAACGGATCCCTTGTAGATTTTCGTTCCCCTCCACATGCTGGAGGCTGCCTGTGTTCCCTGCTATTCTGGGGCTCGTGGTGAGCAGGATGTATGGCATCCACAGATGCCCGGCTTGGCTTGTGCCAAGCCCCCTGACAGGCTGGCAGAGCTGCCGTGTGCCCTCCTTGCTTCCTCAGCTGTGTCTGCTTCTTCCTCCTCTTCTGCCCAGCCCCAAGGGGCTTCTTTCCTGCAGATGCTGACCTGTCACTCCCCTGCTTTTCAATAAGCAGCACCTTGGTAATGTTTGTGCCTGCAGACCACGTCCAGTGAGAACATGAGGGACTTTGCCACAACCCTGAAGAACAAGTTTAGGTCCAAGCAGTACTTCAGCAAGCACCCACAGAGAGGTTACCTGCCCGTCCAGTCCGTGCTCGAGGCTGACTTCTCCGAGACGTGAGTTGGCTGGCCCCTGGGCTGTGCCTTTCCACCCTGCCTGGTTGCTATGTGGGCTTCATGGATGGAAGCAGCATCTCAGCTGTGAGACAGGGTTCCCATGGGAGGGCTGGAGGGAGCACTTGCTCTGGGGCTGCTATGGCCAATAGTTCTTGGAGGAGCAGAGATTTCAGTCTCCCTCTCCAGCCTGTCCCTGGCTCCTCTCAGCCCAGGTGAGACCAGGGCAGCCTCTCTAAGTCCTAGCTTTGAGGGAGGACCACCAAGCCTTGCTGACCAGTGTGTGTCTCTTCCAGACCAGCCTCCTCCCCGATGTTACCACACGCTGACACCCACTCCCGGATCGAGCACTTTGCCAGCAGGTACCACCACCGGGCACTGCCATCACACTAGGGCACAGAGCATGGCTCTGATGGGTGTTGGGGGCGTTTTGGGGCAGGCACATGGTGAGGTCCTGCTGCCCAGAGGCTCCTCCATGCTCTCCAGCGTCCTGCCTGGCAGGCAGAGTCTGGCTGGGGTGGCTCAGGCTGCAGGGAAGAGGCAGCCACAGGGCCAGGCAAACCTGTTGGTACCACTTTGCTCCTCCTGGGGACACGGTTGATGCCACACAAATTGGCAGGGAGCACCATGTCTTTGACAGCAGGTGTCTTGGTGATGAAGCAGCCTCATGCTCTTCACAGTTTGGAACTGCTGGTTGGATTCTCAGCAGGCAGACCCCTCAATGCTTTGCTCTGCCTGTGCACTCACCGGTGCTGCTTGCAAGGTGCCCATTGCTGCTGCCCTGGGGCTGGTAACGCCTCTGCCCTCACCATGGGGACCTGAGGAGCACAGGGAGCCTGTAGTTCAAGCCCTAGGGTGGACCTGGCACGTTTTCACCCCTGTCCTTTGCTTATGCTGAGCTGGCTGCGTGGCAGCAGCCCTTGATTCCAGAGACTGTCACCCCAGAGCAGCAGGATCTTTTGTTTTCTGAAAAGATAAAACCCTGCAGAGCCTGCAGAAAGGGGCAGAGTGACACAGGCCACCTGGGAGACCCTGCCAGAGAGGGGTCTTTCAGGGGCTGCCTTAAGTAGGGTGCGTTGAGCAGACGTTCAGGGTGTCTCTGACCACATCTCAGCCTGTTTCTCTTTCCTCCAGGCTTGCAGAGATGGAAAGCCAGAACTGTTCCTTCTTCAGTGACAGCCTGTCCCCCGATGATAGCCTGTGAGTTCTGCCTCCTTTCCCTTCTCCTCACCTCCTGCTGAGGGAGGGCTCCTGTGGCTCCATCCCTGCTTAGCCAGTGCACAGAAATACTTTCCTTCCCAGCTCCTTTGAGTCTGAAGCACTTGGGCACCCTCCACTACCCAGGCCACTTCTGAGCTCTAGACCTGGAGCAGCCAGAACGAGCTCCCATATGAAACCACCTCCCTCCAGGCTGTCCTTCCCCAAGGGCACATAAATCTTGTGAGTCTGATGTTCCTAAGGTGTTTTTCCACCTGCTGCAACAGGGACGAGGATCAGTACCTGCTGCGCCATTCCAGCCCCATCACCGACAGAGAGCCTGGGGGCAGCCAGCAGGTTCCAGGGAGCCTCAACATGGATGACAAGGGAGAGCTGGAGAGAATCCTGGCCCACTTAGAGGATGAAAACAGGTAGGGGCATGGGCAACGCTGAAACTGGGGTTTATAGACACAGGGGAAAGGGTTGGAGAAGCCTGGCAGAGCTCAGAGGAGCAGAATGGCCTGGAGTGTCCAGACTGAGCACTAAAATCTTCATGGGAACACTCAATGAGGGTGTGCTCTCCAAGGAAGGAAGAAGACTCTGTTTCCCAGAATATTCCTGCCCCCTGTCCCCACAACCTTTTCCCTTCCTGAACCCCAAACTGGTTGAAGTGAGCCCAGGGCACTGCTGTTTCTCTTGTTCCTGAGCCCCTCACAAACAGTGGTGGTGCCGCTCTGGACCACACCAGTGAGCCTCTAGGCAGGGCAGATCGGCTCAGGAGGAGGTGGTGCTTTCCCTGCCCTTGTTCTCAGCCTCTTAGGAAGCTGAGAACTTAGAGCTGCAGGCAGGTCACCCTGCAACCCACAAAGTCCAAGAGTGTGCTGGTCCTCAAGCTTCCCATGTGGCAAAGCCTCCAGGAGTGTTTTGTCACCAAGTCATGGGTCTTTCCCAGTGTCCAACTGTTTCCAGTAGTCTCCAGAAATTAGGATGATGATGCTGACTGAGGCTATCTTGCAGGGTCCTCCAGGGAGAGCTGAGACGTTTGAAATGGCAGCATGATGAAGCGGTGGAGTCTCCAACCTTGGCTACGGGCTCCCCTGAATCAGTGCAAGACCCACGTAATGAGGAGCTCCTGGCAGAAGCACGAATCCTCCGGCAGCACAAGAGCCGCCTGGAGACCCGCATGCAGATCCTGGAGGACCACAACAAGCAGCTGGAGTCCCAGCTGCACCGGCTGAGGGAACTGCTGCTGCAGGTACTTTCGGAGCGAGGATCCAAGGAAGCTCATCCTTGGGGTGGGCTTTGCCATAACAGAGCTGGGGCAGTGGCAGAAAGGGATGGTCATAAGGCTGAGGGGACAACGACAGATGGTCATGACAAGCTTTCTTCTCTCTCCAGCCTCCGGCAGAGTCAGATGGCAACGGTTCAGCAGCCTCTTCCTTGGCTTCATCTCCGCATCAGTCTGAAGGCAGCCAGGCAAAGGAGAAAGAGCACAACACCCCGGACACAGAAGCTGCAGGTGAGGACGGGGGGCTGGGCTCAGCTCTTGGCCCCTCTCCCTTGGTCCAACACTGGGGACAACTGCCCACACCCTGCCATCCTGTGGGGATGCTGCTCACCACCCCCCCTGCTCTCTTCCCCACTGCAGACGAGGTGGAAGCCAAAACCCAGGAAGTCAGCATGTGCCTGGAAGACATCATGGAGAAGCTGCGAAGCGCCTTCCCCAACTCTCGAGGTACTCGAGTGAAATCCCCCTCTCTGGCCTCTTACTGCTCCCTCAGATGAGGTTTTCCCCGCAGAGCCCTGCCCCGATCCCAGCTTCCCTGTGGCCGCTGATCCCCCACGGCACCTACAGCTGGGACTGGTGTGTGTGGTCTGGGCACAGAGAGGATGAGGAGGAGGTTTCACACCTGCGAGGAGAGGCGATCAGAGCTGCCAAGAGTACGGACCAACTAGATCCCCCTCCCAGATGAGCTGCAAAGCACCCTCCCGCCCTGCTTGGGACCCCCTACTCTGTGGGGGTCCCCACTGCGAAGATGGACAGACCTGCCAGCATGGAGTTTGCAGCGATCACCTTGAGCACCCACCTCCTCTCTTCGTCCCCATCGAGGCCCCCAGTTACCTGGCAAGATGGAAGCAATGGTGCAAGCTCTCCTGGCTGCTCATGGACGGCTCTTCCCAGTGGGGACGGGGACTGGGGGATGCCTGTGTGGATGGTGCTCCCCTCACACAGTGGGCTTTGGTGTTGGTCTTTCTACTGTCCCTCCATGCTCCAGAGTCAGTCCCTCACCCAGGCTGCCCATGTGTGTGTCCAGGGGAGATACTGCTTGGTGCCAGCACTAACACAAGGCTGGGGAGAGCTCCCCTCTCTGCCCACACAGACCCTTGCCCGTTTTCTGCCGTCCCTGAGCAGCCCTGTTCTAACCAGCTGGCTCCAGGTCCTGTTTTCCTGACCCTTTCCATTTCTCTTTCAGGTATGACCTCCCTTATCTAACACCTCCTGTGAGCCAGAGGCTTTTCCTAACCACCTACCTGGCTGCTTTCCTCCCCCTCCTCTCCCTGCCATGCTCCCCGTGCTGCGGCAGACCTCGCACAGACTCCCTCCGAGCCGGTCGTGCAGGATGCTTGCCAGCTCCCGAAGATCTCAGGGGAACATAGGTCATGCAGGAGTGGGACTGTGGGCTCCCTAGAAGGCTGGCTCAGCCACAGTTGTCCAAGCCTGGGTGGAAAGGTTGAGAAGAAAGAACTGAAGCCATGAAAGCTGCCTGTCTCCCCCGGCACGGGGCTCCTGGGCTGCTGCCTTTGACCGCAGCCCTCGGGGGATGCAGAGTTCAGCATCCCGCTCCTCTTCAGTTGTGCCCAGGAGCCTCCAGGTTTTATGGCCACCAAAACACTCCTGGAGCCACCCAGTTTTTTTAAAAAGAACTCTTTCTAACAGCATCCAGCTGCCAGCCTTATGGATTGAACTCTCTCTGCCACCCAGGGCTCTGCAGCCAGCCAGGCATGTACCGTCTGGTGGGGAGCGCCTGCGAGGTTTATGGAGTAGGGATGAGTCCATGTTAGAGCTTCAGCCCAGCTAGTAGCCTTATCTTGAGAGGGTCTTTATAACAGAGCCTTATCATTTAATTTGCATATATTTCTATATATTATATATATATATTCTGTACTTAAATACTCTCATGGACTCACTCCATTAAATTCTAATACTGTAAATGCAGCTGCCCTTCACTTTCAGCCCGGCCCCAACCTCTGCTCCTACGGGGACCAGCACCTTCCCTGTTGCTGGAGCTGCTTTGGAGCAGGGGAGCTCAGCAGAGGGGCTGGACCGGCAGCAGGTAACTCCATCCCACCTGGTTTCCTGGGAAGCTGTGCCTTTGCCGTGGCACAGAGCACCCTGTCCTGCCCAGACCCAGCTCCATCCCTGGCTCCTGCAGCTGCCCATCCCCACAGTGCTGCAGGAAGGGGTTTCTCCAGCCATAATTCCAGCCCTGGGGCCACCAGGACGTTGGAAACAGTAGGACTGGCAGGGCACCTCCTTGCTGCCCTGCTGCTGTCCCCCAGTTTGAGCTGGGCTGAAGGACTGGAGGCACTGATTGGAAGAAGGTGAGTCCTTCTGGGCAGTGGACAAGGCTGTTGTGTAAGCTGGTGGGGTAGCTCGATGGTGGTGGTGGCTCCTGGTCCCAAAGGCTCCCTCAGGCTGGCTGTCTCATGTTGTGTTATGTCGAGAAAGAGGTAGAGTCAGGTGCTGTGGGGTGCCCCAGAGCGGAGGCTGAGATGGCCCCGATGCTCTGGGGCCATGGGCTGCAGAGGGAGGAGATGCCCAAACCCAGGGGGCAGGTAGGACTGCGTGATGGTGTATGGCATCCTGCCCCAAACAGGGCTTGCTGCGGGACAGGGACAGGGCTGTCATTGCTGGCTGGGACAGGACGTGGTGGTGAGCAGTTCAAGGAGGTTGGGACCAAGGCAGCATGTGGTTGGCTTTGGTGTGCTGGCAGAGGTGGCAAAGCAGCACTCAAAGGCAACATGTGGTTGGCTTCATCGTGCTGGCAGAGGTGCCAGGCAGTGCCCACAGTGGGGATTAGACAGTGTGAGCCCTACAGCCGGGTGTTGGGGACCTTGTGCTGCAGTGTCTGCTCGCAGAGGTGCAGATTGCTGTCCTTGCCATCCACTCTCAGACCCGGAGGAGCGGCAGGAGAGCAGTGGTGCTGGCACTGGTGTTATGCTGGCTGTAACACGCTGTGTTAGACAGCGGTGAGGGACCACACACCAGCCTGCGAGACCCAGCTGGACTACCACCTCCAGTTATCCCAGTGGCAGGATGGGGGGGACCGTGGGGAGGATCGAGGTTTTGGCCTGAGGGATGAGGTCAGGAGCACCCAGCCTGGGGGGAGCTGGAGGGAAGGAAAAAGCAGGAGGAGCTGCTGGTCCTGGTGCCAGGCGTGGGGAGCAGTGGTGGCCAGGCTGGGTGCTTGGGAGCTGGGATGGGGCAGGGAGGGGAGCAGGCTGGCTAATGCTCTGGTAACCATGTACCGTGGTGCTGCTGTCCTCGCTGCTTCGCACCATCTCTGCTTTGGAAAGAGAATAAATTTGTATTTATACTGAGACCCGGATCGGTACTCTGGCCTCTTCTATCCGTGCACCTTGGCTGGGTCAGGGCAGCTCCTGATGCTGTGCCAGTCCGGCACCGCTCCTGCAGGGCTGCTGGGACATGGATGTCCCTGTGTCCTGTGTCATCCTGGCTGTCCACACTACTGGAGGCAGAGCAGAAGCTGTGAGCAGAGCCCCAGGCTCCCCAGACACAGGTGGGTGCCCTGACCACCATCTTCTTTTAACCTCTTCTAACAAGCTCTGCTCAGGACCATGTGGCAGCCTGAGGGGTGGGACAGGTCCCTCTTCCTCACCTGGGAACTTCTGCTGTAGGAAACCCTTCAGCCCCAGGAAGGATGGAGGCAACGGTGGGATGCTGGGCAGGGAGTTCTCTCCCTCCATGCTTTCTCCCTGGAGCCCCTTGAGGTCTCCAACACCCAGAGGTGCCTCTGCTCCAAGTGCTGCCCATGTTCCCCAGGTCTCTGTGGCACAGTGAGGGGCTCAGCTGAGGACTAGCTCAGGGCAAGGCTGGGGGCTCTCAGGCCCTCTCTGCTGCATGGGGTGCAGCCCAGCCTCAGCTGATGGTGAAGCCTGCCCCAGGACTGCTACTTGTAGGGCTGGAGCTGCTCTCACCCCTCCCTGGAAGGGTTGATGATGCTCAGGAAAGGCTTGACATGGAGGACTGCAGTAGCTACGAGGACAGCTCTCACACAGGAGAGATTCAAGAGCTTAGATGGGGGTGAAATGCAGCCTCTTCAACACTCCCTCCAAAGGGCAGAGCGAAATGCCCCATCCCTGCGCCGCAGGCTCCAGGGCAAGGCGGGCGATGCAGGCTGTGATCAGGGAAACCGGTCACGTCCAGGAACAAATCCAGCCCACGCTGCCAGGGAAAAAAGCTTTTATTTCTCAGCCAGCGAAGCTCAGCGGGGCCCAGCTGAAAGGCGCTGGAGCCGATGAGTCGGGGCAGGGAGGCAGCAGGCGCTGCTGGACAAGCAGGGCTGGTGGCCCCGGCGGCAGCGGGGTGAGGACAGTATTGTTCCCGTGTCACTTCAGGGCCAGTCCCTGGCCCTGGGGCTCCCTCTCAGGGCACAGCAGCCCCGCTGCCTGTGCCGTGCCACCTCCTCATCAGCGGTCCAGCAGCTTTTCCCACATCCAGGGGTAACCAGCCCTGCTCAGGGCTGGCCATGGCCCAGGGTTGTGGCTCCGATCTCTCTGCTCTCGCTGCACCATTCGGGGGGTGCACCGCTTCCTTCCGTGACTGCTATGGGGTAGGGGGTACCTCTGCTCCTCCACCCAGCTCCTCATCTGCTGGTGAGCCCCCAGCCTGGAGCACCACCCTGGGAGTGATGCTCTCTGGGGGGATGCTGCCTTCCCCAGCATTTCCTGGGCTGCTACCTGCTCCCTGCTCCCCACAGCTCCCCTCTTCCAGCTCCTCTCTGGAGGTTTCATCCTCCATCTCCGGGGGCCCTTCGGCTGGCTCCAGCCCCTCGCCGGGGGGCTCTGGGGCTCCGCCTGGCTCCGCCTTGGCCATGCTCCCTGTGCCAGGCTGCCCACTGGCTCCCTGCTCCAGCCCTGGCCCGAGCTCTTCTGCCTCCATATCCCCTGTTGCCCCACATTGCCCTACAGCCAGCTTTTCCATCTCTGCTGCTGGGCTCTCTTCTTCTTTCTCCTCCTCCACCTTCTCCTTCTCCCTCTCCTCTTTTTCTCCCCCCTCCACCTTCTCCTCCTCTTCTTCCTCCTCCTCTCTCTCTTGTTGTTCTTCCTCCTCCTCCCTCTCCTCTTCCTCTTCCCCTTCTTCTCCCTCCTCCCCTCCTTCTTCCTCCTCCTCCTCCCTCTCCTCTTTTTCTTCCTCCTCCACCTTCTCCTCCTCTTCTTCCTCCTCCTCTTTCTCTTCTTTTTCTTCTTCCTCCTCCTTCCTCTCCTCTTTCTCTTCTCCCTCCACGTGTTCCTCTTCCCCCTCCACGTGTTCCTCTTCCACCTTCTCTCCCCCTTCCCCTTCTTCCCCTTCTTCCTCCACCTTCTCTCCCTCTTCCCCTTCCTCTTCCCCCTCCTCCTCCTCCTCCTCCTTCTCCCTCTCCTCTTTTTCTCCCCCCTCCACCTTCTCCTCCTCTTCTTCCTCCTCCTCTCTCTCTTGTTGTTCTTCCTCCTCCTCCCTCTCCTCTTCCTCTTCCCCTTCTTCTCCCTCCTCCCCTCCTTCTTCCTCCTCCTCCTCCCTCTCCTCTTTTTCTTCCCTCTCCACCTTCTCCTCCTCTTCTTCCTCCTCCTCTCTCTCTTTTTCTTCTTCCTCCTCCTCCCTCTCCTCTTCCTCTTCCCCTTCTTCTTCCTCCTCCCCCTCCTCCTCTTTCTTGTCTTCCTCCTCTGCCCCTATCTCTGCTCCCCCCTCCTCCACCTTCTCCTCCTCTTCTTCCTCCTCCTCTCTCTCTTTTTCTTCTTCCCCCTCCTCCTCCTCCTCCTCCTCTTTATCATCTTCCTCCTCTGCCCCTATCTCTGCTCCCCTGCTCTCTGGCTTTGCTCCACAGGTGCCCAGGTTTGCTTCTTCCCCCAATTCTGTCCCATCCCTCCCTTCCACCTCTGCTGGCTGCTCCTGGGCTGCTTCTCCTCCTGGTGCTTCTCCTTTACACCCAGCCCCGGGGGTCCCTTGTTCTGCTTGGTCAGCCCCTGGTTGTGCTGCTTCTTCGGTCGGTGCTGCTCCTTTACACCCGGCCCTGGGGGTCCCTTGTTCTGCTTGGTCAGCCCCTGGTTGTGCTGCTTCTTCGGTCCCTGCACCCTGCTCCCCTTGTCCAGGGGTCTCTGGGACCCCAACCTCACCCTGGGGTGCCTCTTTCTGCGGTGTCGCCCCGTTGCCTACCTCCCTGCTCTCCTGCCCCTCGCTGGCCCGTGGCCCCCGGGGCGGCTGGAAGAGACCTTGGTAGCGCTTCCGATCCTCCACGTGCTTCTTCCTCATCCTCTCCCCCAGCTGCTTCAGCTCCTTCTTCACAGCGGCCGCCATGGAGGGGTCGAGGTGAGCCACCCGCAGGAAGTCCTCCCGCGCCTCCCGCTCATTCCAGACAGCGGCGTGGGCCTTTGCCCGCTTGAAATAGGCCTTGGCGTTGTCTGCCGGGAGAGGAGAGCCCCCCGTGGTGGTCCTGCAGCTCAGGGCCACCAGCCACAGGAGCTAGAGACCCAGGGAACCCAATGGACATGGAGCACAGGTACCATCATAGGTGGGGGAACACGGGGTGGACACACTTGTAGGTAGGGGTACCATCATGGGCTGGGGGACCTGGGACATGCACATACCACCGTGGACACCAGGGGACACGGGGGGCAGGGATCATCATGGGTAAGGAGAACCATAGTGGGCAAGATCTGGATGATGTGGGACAAGAGAGGAGACCCCCCTGTGGTGGTCCTGCAGCTCAGGACCACCAGTCACAGGAGCTAGAGATCCAGGGGACATGGAGCACAGGTACCATCATAGGTGGGGGAACACGGGGTGGACACACTTGTAGGTAGGGGTACCATCATGGGCTGGGGGACCTGGGACATGCACATACCACCGTGGACACCAGGGGACACGGGGGGCAGGGATCATCATGGGTAAGGAGAACCATAGTGGGCAAGATCTGGATGATGTGGGACAACATCATGGGCAGGGAGGCCTAGATGACATGGGGTGCAGGTGCCAATATGGGCAGGGGAAAGCAAGGACATGGGCAGGGGGACCTGAGACACGGGTCCTGCAGTGGACACGGGGATCCAGATGACATAGGTACCATCAGGGGCAGAGGGACGTGGGATGAGCATTGTCATGGAGTGGGGATCCAGAGGACAGAGTCCTCCGGGGCCATGGGCACAGCTCAGGGGAGGGATGCAGGGCATGGGTACCATTGTGTTTCTGGACGAGCTCTGTCGTGTGCTCCAGCACCTCGTAGTACTCTCCCAGCTCCAGCTGGCACTGGCAGTAGTTGAGCACCAGCGGCGTGACCAGGCTCTCCAGCTTCAGCCAGCCATCCTCCCACGGCTTCTCCTGCCCCGGGGGAGTTCACAGCTGTGGCTGTCCCTTCTCCCAAGCACCCAGAGGGCTTTGCTGAAAAGGGATGGCAGGGATGAAAGGAGGTGGCTGGGTCCTGCTCACCTTGGCCTGGAGGTTCCTCAGGCAGATGACAGCCTCCTGGTACTTCGCCGCTGCCTGCGCAAACTCCTTTTGGAGGACGAGGCGGTTGCCCTCGCTGTGGAGCACGGGCACCGCCGCCAGCTTCTCCTCCTTGCTCATGGCCCAGGTGTCCCGCTTGTACGCCGAGGGCTCCTCCACCTGCACGGCCAATGGGACCTGAGCTGCCTGCCCTGGATGTCCCCCCAGCGCTGGCTGCCGTCCCCTCCATTCCCCCTTACCCGGAACAACTCCATGATGAAGATGAGGGGCTGTGGTGTCCGCTGCAGCTCATCCAGGTCGTCGTAGCCCGTGCTGTGGTAGTCGAACATGTTGCCCATGCCACAGCGGTGCTTCTGCCCTTCCAGGGGGTCCCGACCCTCCGCGATCCTCCGCATGCCCCTGGAGACCAGGGCGTACATGCCCGTGTGCTGTAAAGAGGGGGAGCAACCCGCTCAGCCACACGGGGCCAGCCTGCACCCCCTTTCTCTGGGGCAGCCCCCCTGGTGCTGTGGCTATGTGGCACCTGTGCCCCCTGTGCTTGCACCAGGTGAGGCTGGAGCACCTCTGGGGTGCACGGTCCCACACCCTGGCTCTGCAGAAAGGAGGGGAGTGGGCGCCCACGGGCCCCTCACTCACGATGGCGTCGCACCAGAACTCGGCCACCTCCCCGGCTCTCATGGAGCTGAGCAGCGTCTCCCAGATCTCCAGCTTGAACATCTTGCCCACGATGATCTCCATGGGCATGCCAGCTTCCCGGCTGTCGTCGATCACTGTCCTCTCAAAGTCATCCTTCAGCGTCTGGAAGTGGAAGGTGATCTGCCCCGGAGAAAGCTCAGCGTTGAGCTGGGGGAGGCACCGCAGGGAGAGCCCTCCGTCCCCTCCCCAGCCCCAAATTCCTAGGACACTGGGGCCAAGTCTGCTCCCGGCGAGGTGCTGGTTTGATTGGCAGCTCTCCATCCGCAGCAGGAGATTGTGCCTCCTACCCACTTCTCTTAGACAGCAAGCAGATGGTGGAGCTTCTTAACGCCCATCGCTGCTGCATCTCGCTGCTCTCTTTGGCTGCCCCTTTATAACCCAGTAGAGAGGACCTGGCAGAACCCGCGCTGATCTACCACTACCTGTGGGCTGGGGAACCTCAGAAACCTCCAAGAGCTCCCTGTTGGCTGTTTGACACATCAGGAAAGGCAAATTTCCAGCAACCCATAGTGGCTGCTGAGCTCCAATGGCCCCAGGACAGAGGGAGGAGGTGGGTAACAGCACCCAACGTGAGGTGAAGGGAGGGGGCAATGTGGCTGCCTGTGCCCAAAACAGCCCTTCCTGCTACCTCCCTTGAGAGGGATCTCCTGGGGATGGGATATCCCCAAACCACAGACCTGGAGCTCGGCTTGTCCCGAGATGGGTAGGGATGGCTGTGTCAGACCCACTCCCCTCTCCCAGGGCTTTGGGGTACCAAATGAGATGACTTACCTTGCTCCCATCCTGCAACTTCGGCAGCTCCCCGTGGCCTCCATGCAGAATCTTCTTTTTGACCCCTTCCACATTCAGCAGGTAGGTTTCCTCCATGGCTGCTCCTGCCGGGCCCCAGGAGCCGGTCACAGGCACATGGGCACGCTCTGACCCTTCCTGAACCCTGTGTCTTCCTCAGGGTCTCTCTCTTTCCTCACTATCTGGACACACATGTCATCTCCCAGGGCTTCTCCTGGCCTTTTCCTGAGGCAGAACCTGGAAGCCTTCTGCCTGTCCCCTGCCCTTTGGGTTGCGAGAAGGGTGTCCTGCCGTGGCACACCCTCACTGAAGCCCGCGGTGCCCTCCGTTGCGTTCTGGGACTGCCTTTCTAATCCTCTTCCCACCCTGCCAGGTTAATCTGGGATTTGCCTGCCTAGTCTGTGAGGAATTAAAGAAACTCCCTGATCAGGAGGACCTCCTTCCTCCCACAGAGTGACAGCTCACGGAGTCCCCTTCGCACGCAGCGACCCAGCCACGCCAGGAGAGTTCCAGGGAAGGAGCCCAACACCAGCCAGGGGCTGTGCGTGGTCAGGCACACGGTGACAAGAGGCAGTGCTGGTCTGTGCTCCAGAGACCACAGAGGAAGAGACCTGGGTTAGAAATGATACCTTTATTGAGTCTGTTTTGCAGACAAGCATTCCTCAAACACAAGAAGAAGCTCCTACCAGGCCACAGCCCATCAAGTCCAAGACTCAACAAGATGCAGAAAGCATCGAGGAAGAGACCTGGGTTGGAAATGATACTTTATTGAGTCTGGTTTGCAGACAAGCACTCCTCAAACACAAGAACAAGCTCCTACCAGGCCACAGCCCATCAAGTCCAAGACTCAACAAGATGCAGAAAGCATCTCACCGTCCCAGGGAGAACTAAACCCCTCTGGGAGAAGAGTGCTGTGTATTTATAGTAAACCCAGGGTTTTGGCTGCCCTCACAGGCATAGTCCAACTCTTTAGCTCCACCAGCTAAGCCCAGCACAATATATGTGAGAGCAGCTCTGGAGATGGAGCCTCTAGCCCTGCCCAGCAGCACATCTGGTGGCAGAGGGCTGTGACTAGAGCAAAGACTTCAGCGTGGCAGATGAACGCCTCCAGCTCTGCTCGCAGGGATGAAGATCCAGGCTCGCTCCTCACTTCTCCATGAGGGACTCCAGCTGCTCCTGCAGGGATGTCATCTGGAAAGAGAGAACAAGGCATTACAGTAAGGCAGGGCTGGGGCTCCTGGCAGCTCCAGCCCAAGCACTTCTGTGTTTCTGCAGATCTTCCACCTCCGGCGGTGGCTGCTTTGCTGGTAGCTTGCAGGAGCTGTGCCTGGGCACCACTGGGGCAGAACCCAGCACTGCCCAAAGGTGAAGCCACACAACAGGAACCTGGGAGCAGGAACCTCCTGCCTTGGTACCTGGTTAAAACTCAGCAGAGCTGCCCAGGCAGGGAATCTGCCAAGACCCTGTAGCTACTGCCCTTCTTTTACACGGGTGCTAGTGGTTTTGTGTCGTGTTTTACCCCAGAGAGCAATCCAACAGCCTTGGGCTGCTGACTAGATGAGTTTTGGCTCAGTGCTCCTCCAGAAGGAAGGCTGCAATCAACCCCATTTCCTATACCTCCTTGTGCTTTAGGAAGTTCCGTGCAGCTACAGAGGAGGTACAACCACACCTGGATCTGTAACACTGGAGTTCAGAGCAGCTGGTGTGGTACAAGATTCGGGAAACTTTGTCACAGGCCAAGCCTAGAACCGTGCCGTGCCCCAGTCCTCCCCACTCCACTGTGGGAGTTTCCTCACCTGCTGCTTCTCTCGCTCTTCCTGCTGCTTGAACTCATCCAGCACGGCCTGGAGACGGGTCTGCAGAGACAAACACACCACAGTTACCAATGTTTTCTCTACCTAATGGTGCTGGCACAACACATCAAATGGTACAGCAAGCCCCAAGTTGCACCGACAACCAGCCCCCTTATCTCCTGCAGTTTCATGAATTGTTTTGTCTCCACAGGGAATGATGGAGTGCGTGTGGTCACACCACAATTTTTAAGCCAGGAGGTAAAGGCCCCTCACTTTTCCAGGGCAGCAGGAAATCAGTCTGCTGGATCTAAAGGCAAGCCAGTGCTAAGCAGAAGACTTGAAGAGACCCCAGGAGAGCTCTCACCTTGAGGGCTAGGTTCTCCACTTTCATGATGAGATCTTCCTGGCGCTTCCTTCTGTCCTGGGTCTCTTGGAGCTTACTTTTCAGGTTGTCAATCTGTTTCTGGATCCCCATGACTGGAAGAGAGAGTGAGCTCAGACCCAGAGCAGCAGCAGAGCAGGGCAGTGCAGCCTGCCTGGCACCCTGGTGATTCTGCTGCGCTCTGCCACCCGCTCACCTATCTGGTTGGACCCCTCGTTCTCCTGTTGCTGCCCGTCAGACTCATTGAGCTTGTCCTGCAGCTGCCTCTCCAAGTCCTCCTCAGTGTCCATGATGTTCAGGTCTTCATCGTCATGATGATCCCTTTCGTCTTCGTCTTCGCTGCTGCTGCTGATGTCATTAAATATCTCCCGCAGTTCGTCATGTTCTAGAGGGGTGCAAAAGGGAAGAGGGAAAACACAGCTGATGACCTCTCTGCACCCTCTGCCTGGTAGGGACCACTTCAGTAGAGGGTGCCTGTCTCAGTGCCCTCCCTCCTTCACTCTGGTTAGGGTTTACCCCAGAGGGAATGGGCACAACTGATTACTAAGCGACTAGAAAGAAACCAACAGCTTTCCCCACTGCACCTGAGGAGCCATGGCCTTGTTTATGTCCCGACATCCCCGGGGAGGAGATGTCCAGGCTGGTGAGAGAACCATGGTTGTCTACTTCTTTTGTTTCATCTTCAGCAATGACTTCCCAGCCTGACAGCAGGAACAGACAAGTCAAGGGAAAAAGAGGAACATGAAAGATGCAGAGTGCTAAAAACTGCAGGAGATTGCTGCCCCTGCAACAAGTCTGGCCTTGCACCCATGAATAACCAGGACAAACAACCCCAGCCCCTTTTGTGATGTCTTCTCCTCTGCTGTTAAGCTCCTGCTCACTACAATAATTCAGTCTGCAAGAAGAAGAAGAAATGATGAGCTCTGAACAAGGCAAAGATGAAGCTCCAAAACTTCAGTGCCTCTTGTGTCCTCACCTCCCAGCCTCTCACACCCACCCAAAGCCGAACTTGTCTCTTCTTTCCACAACCCCAAGGTCACACACAGCTTCCTGTCCCCAACTCGAGCTTTGTTAATTTTAAAAGGATACGGACACTGACAGCTTCAGCATCTGTGCTCAGGAGACGCTTCACCTCTTTTTCCACATCAGGAGACTCAATATACTGGGCCAGAGAGGGGAAAGAGAACAGTGATTAAACGCCTTATGTGAGCCCCTGGTGCTGGTCAACTCCAACCCTCCACCTCTGGACAGACCCCTCTTTTCAAGCCTCTTTTCTCTTATGCTTTCTGCTCATGTTCACCCTAAAAGTAATCTATGCACCTCCAGAAAGCAATCCATCTTCTTTGTGCAGAGCTCCTCGGTGGGTTGTGTGCTCTCATTTTTCTACTTATACTACTTACGAAATTAGACTTTCCGTGTGTATGCAGAAAGTCCTCGAGGTGCTGTTTCCTGATGGATGGTCAACTCAACTCCTTCCCATCACACTCAAAAGGAGGTTTCATTTTTCACTTTTAAATTAGCCAGGAATCTTAATGCGGTGACATCAAACCCCTCCTGCGGGCTATAAGAACGTCTCAAGTAATTTGTTTCCCAAATGTCATGCAAAATAGCACTCCATGCTGTTCTGGGAAACTGCAAAGCGGAGAAGAACAAGTCTTCCCAGCCTCAGGGTGCTGCAGCTCCCCAACACCTTGCCTGGCTTGTGCATATGCACAGAGACAGTCTCTGAGCTCCATCTGTTGTCACTCCCCCAGCTGAAATGACAGTTATTCTATTTGTAGTGCCGCTCGTTGGGGAAGTGAAGGGGCCATGCACAGAGAGATGATTTCAGCCGGGAAAGCAGGAACGAGTGAAGCCTCATCTCCATGTGAGTCTTCCTTTTGTCTCTATGAGCAGGAAGAGCCACACTATGGCAAGGCAGCCACAGGAATGGAGTTCTCCACAGAGGACTTTCCCCTCAAGAAGCATCTTGGAGAACATGGAGGAAGCATCCAAAGAAGTGTTTAAATCTACTACCCTGCCTTCACCTTCACCTTGGGTGAGGAAACATGGGAAGCAATGTTAAGAAATTGCATGTTTTCTGGACTAATAGAGTGTTTCAGCTCTAATGTCTCTGCCTTCCTGTCCCTCGGTTATTGCATCTGCATCTCTGTGAGAAGCAACTCACCTTCTTCTTAGCTGTCTTCCGGAATCGTCTCTTCCGCACGTTTTTCAGGGGAAGAGTGACTGTGACAGAGGAAACAGATTGCATGTGTCAGGCAGATGGCCTAACGGGAGAGCCGCGTGCCAAAAGGGAGAAGATCCCTTCAGGAACAGGGAGAGCACTGCAAACGGAGCAGCAGCATAGCCAGGACACAGCAGTGGTGAGTGCCCTGCGTGGCTGTGGGGACACTGGGGTGGTGGGATGGAGAGGTTTGGCACAGCTTCTACTCACTGCCATGGTTCCAGATGAATTTCTTCTCTCTGTCCTTGTCCTTCTTCTTGTTTGCCTTGGGGTCAGTGCTCACGGTTTGCTCTTCCAAAGGCGGGTAGAGATCACCATCCACAGTGCAAACAAGCATCTGGAATCCCCACATGAACACAAAAGGGTGCTTATTGTAACACAAGGACAAAGGGATGTGAAAGCTTTTCTGGGAAATGAGCAGTGACTGCCCACTGCATCTTGTGAGCCAAAGGGATTCACGGGCACGGGGTACAAGAAACAAGATGTTTCCCACCCAGCTCAGTTCATATCTAAACACAGCAGCAGTTAAGCTGTTACAAGGACAACCCCATTTCATGATTAAAAAATGGGATTTCTAAACACCAAGTGGAGCGGGGAATTTTAAACTGCTGATATTGTGAGAATACACAAATTGGCCATGGCGTTCAATTTCTCCAGCGGCCAAAGCGTACAAGGATTTTCCTGGGGAAGGAAACAAGGAATTAAGCTGTAGGGGCTGGCAAGGACAGCCCATACCTGGCAAATATCCGCTGTCTTATAGAAGGTTTTCTTGTCAATGGTTTTTAAGCTCTCGATGATGCAGGGCAGATCCACCAGCTTGGCTGCCAGCGGCACCCGGTCTACGCGGACAATCCCATGGCGCCCATCGGCTGCGGGAAGGCAGGGGACAGGTAAGTGCTGTCACTAAAGAGTGAAACTGAGAGATACATTCCTGAGCAACAGAATCACAGAACTGTCAGAGTTGGAAGGGACCTTCTAGAGGTCATCTAGTCCAACTTCCCTGCCAGAGCAGGGTTGCCCAGAGCACATCACTCAGGAGCATCCAGGTGGGGGCGTGAAGATCTCCAGAGGAGACGCCACACCCTCCCTGGGCAGCCTGTTCCAGGGCTCTGCCACCCTCACCCGAAAGAAGTTCTTCCTCATATTTGAATGGAACTTCCCATGTTCCAGTTTGTGCCCGTTGCCCCTCGTCCTGTCACGGGGAACCACTGAAAAGAGTCCGGCTCCATCCTCCTTCAACCCACCCTTTAGATACTTGTCAGCATTAATAAGGTCTCCCCTCAGCCTTCTCTCAGAGTCCCAGCTCTCTCAGCCTTTCCTCACAAGCAAAATTTCACAGGAAAACACATGCAAGTTGCACAGCTTCACTTACGGACACTCAGAGGAGCTTTGAGGTGCCCTGATCCTGCTCACTCACCGTGTAGCTCGATGGTGAGCCTGTCCTTCAGGTTGACATTCCCGGACTGTACCGCTCGCCGCACGGTGGAGGCATATTCCTGGGAAGGTTGGACAGACTCAACGTCAGGAACGGGTGTGCTTCCTCTGAGAATCACCAAAAGCTTCTGACCAACCTACCCACACCCCTGCCATCCCAACCCAGAAAAACAACTGCAATGAAAATGGCAATGAAAACTGCACCCTCCTCCCAATACCACGTATTAACCCTGTGGCTCTGCTGTTCCCAGTGCCTTTCACACCCTCCTGACATGATACGGCTGTGACAGAGGACCACAGCCCTGGGGGACGTTGCAGCTCCCCTCATGGCTCTGGTGGGCTCAGCAGGACACAGTTTCAGCTTTAAGCACCCGACAAATAGCATCAAGTGCACTGGCAGCCATGGCAGCTAAAGACCCAGCACTTGCTGAAGCTCTACTCTTACAGAAATTTCCTCCCTCGTCCTCTGAGTTGTCTTCCGAGCCTCCTGCTCCGTCTCACTCCCCCCACAAGAGGAAAACATGGAAAATCTCTTCAAACGAGTGGGAATGTGCTACGCGAGGCCAAAAGCATCCAACCTGTCCCTTGCCGGCTCCACAGACATCCCACTGGCCTGTCCCCCCCCCTTCCCCTTCTTAATCTCTCTCCCAAGCCCGGTGCTCCCCAGGCAATCCGGACGAAGGCCCGACGGCAGCCTTTTGGGCTGTACCGGGCCCAGCGGCCTCTCACCGGCGGCAGCCGCAGCACGAATTGGCTCTCCAGCTCATGCGGGGCATCGTCCTTGCTCTTACTCATCCTCTCTTCTTCCTCAGCTCGCAAAAACCAGCCACGATCACCTCCCGGCCAAGAAGGCTCCTACACGGTAACCCCAGCCCGACACCCCCGGGGCCGTGCTATCGCCCACGGACACCGGCGGGAGGAGCTGAAGGCGGGGGTGTGTTTTTCCGGGGCCTAAACCCCCGGGGAGCAGGACCTATCCGGTGGCCGCGACGCCCAGCCCTCCCTACCGGAGCCTCCCGCGGAAGCAGGCCCTGGTGCGGTAGCAGAGACTCCTCCCCCCCCTCCCCGATCCCCTTTCTATTCGTTCCGCCCCGTTCCGTCCGTTCCGCCCGGCGGCGGGGGAAGGCTTTTGGCGACGCACCGGAAGCGGCGGCGGGGGCTGCCATGGGGGCGGCGGGCGGGCGGACCGGCTTTTATGTGGGGCTGGGCCTGGCCTTGGCTTCCAGCGCCTTCATCGGCAGCAGCTTCATCCTCAAGAAGAAGGGGCTGCTCCGGATCTGCCGCCGCGGCCGCGTCAGGGCAGGTACCGCCACCACCGGGCCGGAGGCTCGGGCTAACGGGGGAGGCCAGAACGGCCCGGTGCGTCCCCTGTCACCTCCGCCCCGGGGGCCCTGGGATGTCCCTGCACCCCCCCCCCCAGACCCCGCGGGTCACCGTAGTCCGTCTCCGACCAGCCCTGGGCCTGGGCCACCCCCCCGCCTTGTTGGGAGGGAAGGTTTGGTCTAAAAGCGGAGTTTTTACCGCAGGGATTAGGCGGCCATCGCCACAAAGACAAGTCTGTAGAACGGCTCCCGTGTTCTTGAAACATGAGACAATGCGGGGATAAAACGGGGGAGAACCTGGGGGATAAAATATTTGGGTTTAGGGGAAAAGAACTGGTGGTTGCCCACACCTGGGTTGGGCTGATGTATGATGGAGACAGACCCGAGGCAGCCTGGAATTTAGAGGAGGTCGGGCTGCTCCCATTTTGCTTCTGTTCTGGCAGGATAATGAGCTTTTCGTGTACCTTCACTTGAAGTTTCTTGTTGCTGTCTCTTCCTTACTTAGGGCAAGGAGGTCACGCGTACCTGCAGGAATGGCTTTGGTGGGCAGGGCTGCTGTGCAGTAAGTACCCTCTCTGAAACTCCAGCAACACGCGCTTTTGTGTGTTTGTGAGTGTGTTTGTCATCATTGTTTGAGCACTTGATTTTCATCCAAGTGTCTGAGGATGTTGTCGATCTAATTGTAACTCTAAAACATTCTAAAGTCTCAGGGATTACGAGGTTCCTCTGCTAAACAGGAGTTGAGGCGCTGGTCTGACTGGGTGGGGTTGAGTAGTTCTGAAGTGGCCTGTCCAGCTGAGGTAGTTCCAACAGCACATCCAGCACCGTGCGTTAGTGCTGCAGTGATTTCAGCAGCTCTGGTTTACACTTTGCAACGTTAATAACCAATTGTACTTGATTTCCCCTTTAAAAAGCTGTAAAAGCTGTTCCAGGAGAAGAGCATGACTTAGAAACACGAACCAGGCCAAAACTCCTTCAGCTTTGAGGACATTATGGAAATACTTCTCTGTGGTTACTGCTCAGCTGCATAGCCCTATGTAGCCACTAAGGATCACCATGCGTTACTATGAGCCTTCTCTTCCCAAAAGAACCCATCTTGGGCTTCTGCTTGTTCTTGCTGGTGCTATTCTTTCCTGGTTGCAAGACATACCTCAGAGAAACACAGAATGCTCAGGTGGAAACCAAGGCTCTCTTCTGACTGCACTCCAACGAGCATTATGCTGAATTGCTCCTACTTTGGCGCTTACCTGACAGTTTCTCTTGCAGTGGGAGTTGGAGAAGCAGCAAATTTTGCTGCCTATGCCTTTGCCCCTGCAACGCTGGTGACTCCACTGGGTGCTCTAAGTGTCCTTGTTAGGTAAGCAGCCTCAGAAACACCCTTACGTCACCCACCACCCCTTAGTGGTGAAAGCAGTTGCTCTGCTTTCCTCTGTCTCTTCCTTCAGGCATTCCATCCCTTGGCCTAATTGGTTTTGGGCTTTTTTTTTTCTATCTTTTAGTGCAGTTCTGTCCTCCACCTTCCTGAATGAGCAGCTGAATGTTCATGGGAAGATTGGCTGCCTCCTCAGTATCCTGGGCTCCACGGTGATGGTGATCCATGCTCCGCAGGAAGAAGAGGTTTCCAGCCTGGAGTCAATGGCAGAGAAGCTGAAAGATCCAGGTACTTGAATAAAAAGGATCCTGTTAACTTCAGGCTTGGAAATGATAGTAGAAGATAGGATACAAGTTGGCTAGATTGGGAAGGACTGAACTAAAGGGTAACTGAGCTGTTCCTTGCTCTGCATTCCAGTGGAGGAAATGTTCCCCCATGTCCAGAAGAGCTTGTGGGTTGCCTTCTGGCCACGCTCCAAATGTGAAATAACGTTGTCAAACAGCATTTGATGCATGTGCTCAGAGGATTTACACCTTATTAACTAGCTCAGAACACAGGGGGACATGTCAGCTTTTAGGACTGTCACATCCTCTTGACTCTGGAAGAAAGAAGCAGACGGGGACCCCACTCTGCAGAGAGGGAGTCTAAGTGATGCTCCCAAGTCCCTGGCTCTGTGCTGAAGGAAGGAGGAGAACTTGGGTTGTTAACTTAACCAAATGTGCCTTTTTTTGGGTGTGCTGTCTGTGAGATACAGAAGCAATAAGCAAAGAGTATGGGAATTAGCTGAGCTGTCAGCAGAAGGGGTTGGCCTGTGGCAGTGCTGGGATTGGAGAGGGAATTCCTGTACAGGAGGGTAGCAGTGTTGTGCCCCCCATCTTCCTGGTCAACAAGCCCTCCACCAGTGCCACACAGCCTGGCTGCACCCCTTCCCCTTCCAGCACAGGTATCCCCTGACAGGCTGATTTGTGGGGCACATGGGAATTAGCTGTCAGCAGAAGGGGTTGGCCTGTGGCAGTGCTGGGATTGGAGAGGGAATTCCTGTACAGGAGGGTAGCAGTGTTGTGCCCCCCATCTTCCTGGTCAACAAGCCCTCCACCAGTGCCACACAGCCTGGCTGCACCCCTTCCCCTTCCAGCACAGGTATCCCCTGACAGGCTGATTTGTGGGGCAGTGCTGTGATCAGCCCTGTTGTCTCTGCAACTTTGCTCAGGCTGGAGACCAACTCTGCTTCCCAACCCTGGTCCCTACGGGTGGAAGCTAAAAAGACAGACTGATGGGGCAGTTCCTTGCCTGTCCTCCATCTCCACTTGCTGTTCAGTTACATCTGTCACTGGCCCTACTGTTCTCTGATAGAGCTCTTTAATTCTTCTTTCCCCAAGGATTCATTGTATTTGCTGTGTGTGTCCTGGTGAGCTCCCTTCTGCTTATCTTCGTGGCTGGACCCCGTTACGGACAGAGCAACGTCCTGGTTTATGTTTTGGTCTGCTCGGCCATCGGCTCCCTTTCTGTGTCCTGTGTCAAAGGCTTGGGCATTGCCCTGAAGGAACTGTTTTCCGGGAAGCCAGTCCTGAAAGAACCACTGGGCTGGGTGCTCCTGGTGTGCCTGGTGATCTGCATCAGCGTCCAGATCAACTATCTGAACAAAGCTTTGGACATCTTCAACACATCCGTGGTCACGCCCGTTTACTACGTGCTCTTCACCACATCGGTCATGACGTGCTCTGCCATCCTCTTCAAGGAGTGGCAACACATGGTGCTAGACAACATTATCGGCACCATCAGTGGCTTCCTCACCATCGTGTCCGGCATCTTCCTCCTCCACGCTTTCAGAGACATGCCCTTCACCCCAGACCTCCTGCCCCTTTTCCTGCAGCAAGGCAGGACAGACCCACGCACCTCATGGAGGAGTGCAGACAGGCATCAGTCATGTCAGCACCAGCCTCTCCTGCCCTCAGAGGACAAAAGCTCTCAGAGCGCAGAGGAGGAAGAGGAGGAGGAAGGTGAAAGCATGTGAGGAAGCCTCTGAACTGCTAGCTTTCTGCTCCCACTGTGAGGTTGGACATGCTGCCTCAGCTGCTGCTGCACTAGCAGGAGATAGCAGTGACCATCTACCTGCCCCAGGCGTGGGATGGGTGACCTGCTGCTGCCACGGGCTGACAGGGACAGCGGTTTCCTGCGACAGGAGCCCTGGGAACAGCTCATGTCCTGGGATCTGGTGCCTCTTTGCTGTTCTTTTACATGAAGAATTGATCTGCCCTCATCAGGATGGAGGCTTCGGCGGCGCAGAGGCCCTCAGCACTAACACAGGGCTAACCCTCACTGAATGCGAAGAACACGCATTTGGGGACGCCTCACAGCCTTTTTAAAAAAATATACTTAGAAGATTAACAGTTACAAAATAATCTAACATGGTGCTAAGGTTACACAGAGAGAAGATGAATGTCTGGCTTTAAAGATGACACACCCAGAGTATTAATTCAAAAATTCCTCTGTCAAGTACTGGTTTTGCTCACTCTGCTAGAATTTATTTACAGATTCACATCCGAGAACAGAATACAGCCAAAACTGGAAAACTTCAGTGGTGCTGCCACGTGGTGCCGTGGCTCTTACAGAGGGACCAACCTCTTCACCCATCATCTGCAGTGCGGGTTGATTAAGTACCTGCTTAATATTCTATTAAAACCCAATTTGTTCAGTTACCAAGTGGCTTCTGACACATTTGTACCGAGAGCTGGGCCAGCACGGAAAGGGCTGAAGGATCACAGGGGTAGGAAGAACCGTGTGGATGCTCCAGAGAAAGTCAAGATAAGGGGACAGGAGAGGGAATTGTTGACTGTGGGAACAGGAGTGACCCAAGAGTCCTTAGCTACTGAGGTAAGTCTCTGAATGGTGACTAGACAGCTGTGTCCTCACTTGGGTGGGTTTATATCTGCATAGCTGTTTAACCCATCCTGAATTTGTTGCCGTGGCTCTTACAGAGGGACCAACCTCTTCACCCATCATCTGCAGTGCGGGTTGATTAAGTACCTGCTTAATATTCTATTAAAACCCAATTTGTTCAGTTACCAAGTGGCTTCTGACACATTTGTACCGAGAGCTGGGCCAGCACGGAAAGGGCTGAAGGATCACAGGGGTAGGAAGAACCGTGTGGATGCTCCAGAGAAAGTCAAGATAAGGGGACAGGAGAGGGAATTGTTGACTGTGGGAACAGGAGTGACCCAAGAGTCCTTAGCTACTGAGGTAAGTCTCTGAATGGTGACTAGACAGCTGTGTCCTCACTTGGGTGGGTTTATATCTGCATAGCTGTTTAACCCATCCTGAATTTGTTCCCAGAAAGGCTGCTGGCTACAAGCCACCCATGGCGTTAGGCACTCACACGCCCTCTCCAGCCACCGCCAGGAAGGCTGCTGGCTACAAGCCACCCGTGTTAGGCACTCACACGCCCTCTCCAGCCACCCGTGGCAAGTGGACTTGTACCAACTGCTTTCCCACATTCCTGTGCAGAGCTCTAAGCCGCTGGCAGTGGGTCACTCCAGGCTTCCCAGAGCCCTGCTGTACATAAAGCACTGCTGGAATGCTACGCTGCCTTTCCAGAGGGAGGATCAGTAGTTTGGTGTTTTTCCAGGCAGAAGCTCCTCTCTGTGTCCTGGGGGCAAAGGTGCAGAACACACGGCCATAGGCCTCCCTCCAGTCATCTCCACAGGTAAAGATGTGTGAGATTATAAAATAGCTGGTTACTCTTTTCTTGCATTTAGTCTCTCTCTAAAGAAAGTACTCCTTTACAGGACAGCAGGAGCTGTTAACCCTTTGGGGAAGAGGAGGGCAGGCCACAGACTCCCCCAGGAAACGAGTTTGAGTCGTGGGAGCAAATTAATTGAGAAACAAATGAGAATTCAGAGCAGACCTTCTAGCCAGGAGACAGTCGTGCACCCTCCCTGCTAAATTTCCAATAAATTTGCAATACACAGGGTCACTGGGAAGGAGGGGGACTGACAAGACGACCAGATTTTTTTTCAATTCTCAGTGGCCATCTACCTGAACAAAGAAGAACCTCATATTAAAAATTGACCCAGTTAATATTTATTACGTTGGTCGGGGGAAAGCACTTCATGGAGCGAGTGGGTATTGACAGAGTTGTGCTGGAGTTTGGTAATTAGCCACTTGGCCACGCGAATGATTTATTTATGGAAGCCTGAAAGTATTTATTTTCCAGTAGTGACTGCCTGGGATGATCACTGTGCCCGACGAGCTCTTCTCTCTAAGGGTACCTGTACCGGCCTGCGCCGCCACGGCGCCTGCGGGGCTCGTTAAACGTTTACCCAGGAGGGTTCATTTTGTGCAGCAGGCTTGGAAGGCAGCGGTGGCCTTGCCCAGAGCTGAGATTGCCACCAGCGAGTGTCACCGTCCCTCCGTGTGGCTGAGTGGGTGCCTCCCTGCGTAGCGTGGGGTGGTCCCAGCATGACGACGGTGGCCACGGGGCCGGGAGTAATAGCACGTCACCCCGAGGAGGGGGCAACCCTGCCTCTGTCCTGGGCTCTCATCTTTGCTGCAGCTTTCCCCCGAGACCGGCTCTTAAATCAAAATCCAAACCCCCAGAGCTGATCCTGGCTCATTTCAGGCGGCAGAGTGACCGGCGGCGGAAGGTCCGGCCTGGCGGGGAGAGGGGGATGAAATGGGGGGGTGCTGGCCGGTGTGTCCCCCCACCCCCGGGGGCGCGGGTCCCCCCCCCTCAATCGGACAGGCTCTCCGAAAAAGCCGACTTGGATTTCTGCGTCTGCTCCAGCCGGTTCAGGATGAACTGGCTGGTGTCGATGAAACGCTCCACGCAGTTCACGAAGCACGTCTCGGCCCGGCTGTCCAGCTTCGGACCCGGCTTGTCCATGCACTTCTCCTGCACACAGCGTGGGGAGGGAGGGGGGAACCGGTGGTCCCGGGGGCACGGCGG